ATCTAAGAATTTAAGAGAAAAACTGATATAAAAGTAAACACTGGATCTGGTTCTTAAAAGAGGCATTATAGTGGACTGATTTGTGTTCCTTAGGGTCTAAGAAATGCTGATCGCAGTTTGCAGGAGTGTGAGTATACATGGATGTATTCCTGTGTTTGTGCAGAACCTAAATCCACAGTTTCCTCATGCTGAGGCAGAGAGTAAACATTATGATGGGCCCAGCCACAGGTATCTGGAGTGTCTCACTGACTGTCGGAGAGTGCTCTTCAGGAGCAGAGAGTAAACATTAGCCTTTTTGGTCTTTATTTGGTCACTTTGTTGAGGTTTTAACAGACCTAACTTCAGTGACTGTGCTCAGACTCAGGCAGGCCCAGTGAGCATCGTCGCAGAAGCTGAACTGTTTACAGGACATGTGACATATTCTCTGGGATGCTTCGTTTGCTTGTGTTCTACAGCTGGCCGCCCCGGTGTTTTGTCCCCTTTGTTAGGGAAAAGGTCAGTGACGTTCATACATCAAGTGTGAAGCTTTAACACCCCCCTTACCACAGTTTGACCAACAGACGGACCCTGTGTCCCACATCTACATCTCATTTAGTAAAACCACAAACCACTCCATACTCTCCTTTTCCCTTTCCTCCTAACACTTCCTTTTTATCAGTTGTTCTTCTAAAATTGTACATGAAGTTGGATTTAGACTATCCTCCTCCCGTGGAGACGACAATCAGCTGCCATCTGGTTCAGCATCGCGGGGTAGCCGTCTGAAACTGACCCTTTGCAAAGACCAACTTCCTGTGAGGTCAAAGGGACTTGTGTTGATGCATTCACTGAGGATAGGGAGGGAAATGGGGAGGGGGTATCCTCTATTTCTTACTGGCTCCTTTTTTCTTTTTTCTGAGGCCCCAAGATGTTTTCTCTAAGGGATTGATGCATCTCCCACGCAAAGGAAGATAGCGTTTCCCCTGTACAGAGAGCAGGATATCAGGGAATTTTATGTCAAACTACAAAGTGTGTTTATAATAATATAAGTACATACCAGCAAATACTGCACATACTGTCTACTTCTGCTGCTGGTTTTCCCTTTATATGACATTTGATTCCTCATCTCCTCCTGAGCCGTTGCCAGAGAATCTAAGAGTTCGAGCTGAATGCACAGCAAGAATCCAGGGAGTGGATTTTGTTCCCTCTTCATTCCCAGATAGTGAGCTTTGAGAGATTTATGCCTCTCTGAAATCTGGAGTTCTGGAAATTTGAGCAACCCCAAGAGCACCCCAAATTCAAACTGAGGCCAATAAAAGCAGAATTTGTATACCCCCCCTATTATCAGCATCCTCTAACCATAAATACAGAGAGGATATGAGGGGGTTAACCATAAATTACCTTCTAAATAAGGGAATTAATCTTGGCATCAATTTGTTATCAGCGGAGGAACACTGCAGATTGAGTTACATAAGAGACTTTGCCGTAATGCTGTTGGCTTGGAGAGAGAAAGAAACAAGTCATGTCAGTTAGCATTGTAACTTCCCTTTAATTATGTATAAGTTTCCAGATAATGTAATTATCAGACTCTGGACACAGCGTAACTGAATTGCAGGTAGTAAATGAGAGGAAGCGAACGCGGCAGAACCATCTCTGCTGTCTGTAAAAGGTTATAAAGCATGATGGTTTACAAGTATAGTCTCAGTGTACGAAAGGAAACCATTAGATGTGTTGGAGAAGTTTTTGCCGTATCCCTGGAAAGTTTGGTTTGCATTTGTGGCCGATCAGTATTTCCAGAAAACGACAAAGCATCATCCAAACATGTATGAGACTCCACATTTTGTATTCATATTTATATTACCATAGGTTGGTTTTTGTATTGATATCGTACATCTGATCTTACCATATTTAGTTAACGTGTCTCAAATATTTACTTTTGCCGTCCGTGTGACTTTGGTTTATTACCTTGCTTCACTTGCTTTTCCCATTTTCTCTGTCTTATATGTTTTTTATAGCATCAAAGTCGAAAGACAATACGTTTTTACATTTAAAGATTGGTGCCAACATTGCCTACATGATTAATACAATGGTTATAATAATACTGTTACTATTATATTCAACAAAAGTAAAGGTTAAACAACATTAAACATTATTTTGTAAGATTCGAGTAGGATATTTACTCCTTAGCCACCAGCTCCTGGAAAGAAAAACTGGTTTGACTTGCAATCAGTAGCATGTGAATTCTCAATTTCAGTGTGGTTTTTGAGTGTAAACCTAAATAATTAGCACATTTTCTCACATTAATAGCTTAGCAAGTCTCCTTTTCTGCAGTTGTGCAGATCATATAGCCTCAAGAAACAAATATCTACCCACACACCCTTGACTTCCAACACCAGTCCCCATGTAAACATGAAAATAGTGATATGCGACCGCACATTTCAACAAGCTTAGATGACTAATCATCTGGTTTATCGAGTCTTTTGTTTAGCTCTGACTGGTGGCTGATCAGCGCAGTGTAATCCAGAGAATATTTTGTTCTCTTCAGAGAGTTGCACACATGCCTTTACACACACCCACACACACTCATGCCTACAGCACTAAAGAAGAGATATAACAGACCTGCCACTCCTTGCTCCTAGAGTAACCTCCTGGACATTTTGTGACGAAAATACAGCTGGAGGAAGTGAAGCAATCCCTAATTAGTCTTTGTCACAGTATCAGTTACGTCACTGCAGGCCCTACCCTTTGCATTTAAGCACATTGGCAACAGTAAGCTCAGCAGTGTTTCTGTGAATTTCATGAGTCAAAATGTAATCAGCTGTTATGGAAAAAACATTTACAGTAACTTCCATTCAGCACACAGGTGTCTCAACTTTGCGAAAGGTGCTTTGCAAGTTATGCAACCTTTTATGACACATATATCTCCGATACTGTATATGAGAGTCGATTAAAGGCAGTGTTGTTAAAAGAAAATTAAAGTCCATCTAGAACCATGAAGCCATCTTTAGGTAATAACTGCCATGTAGCTTCGACCTGACCTTTTTTCCTTCTCATGGGTTTGCAGCCTGATGAGGAAGTAAGTTTGTGGTCATTTACCACCTGCAACCAAGTAATGAAATCTACAAGTGGACAGAGGAGAATGTTTACTGTGGCTTTATACTGCGCCTTGCTTGAGCAATCAACTGTTTTTTTTTTCTTCCTTGTGCACCACACAAGTCTGAATCTCTGCTGGAGGAAGTTTGTTGAACCTTTACTCACCTGCAGCTTTTATGGCTCTTCATAAATATTAACAGAACAGACAGGAAGCAGCTTGGAAGATGTCCATAGATACTGATATGTACATGCATATGGTGATACAACGCACTTATTTACCATTATCAGCATCCCTATTAGCAGACTGTCATTCAGAATGTCCAAATCAGGTTGATTAATATTCACAGCTTCACACTCATGACAACCTTTTTGTTTATTACAGTATGTTTTCTCGGTCTGTGTAATAATTAGGGGGCTAATTACATCTCACATCGCTCCTCTAATTAAAACGGTCAGCTTGCCTTTGCTAGTCTGCCTCGGTTGCCGTGGCGTTCGGCTGCTGGACTGCAGGGTTCCTGCCAGGGAGATCCCTCAGGGACAAACTAATGAGGAGGAAGAAGAGGCAGGGCGGGAGACAGATGTTTGTTTTTTCATTTTCACTGATTAAGTGCAACATTGATGTTGTTTTGTGTGAATTCAAAACAACAACATGAGAAAAATGCACCTTGAAAGAGGAGAAGCCAAGAAATAGTCTTCAGATACTAGTTTGACTGAGCTAAAAGATGATGTTATGTCGTTTTTTTTTCAATTGGCCAATCAGAAAACACATCAGTGCGTCTAAGCTAACTGTTATGTACAGTTTGGTGAGGTGCGTTTCACAGTTTGGAGCACATGTTTGCCTTTCTTTGCAGTCAAGAGCAGACACGTTGTGGAATGTGACCCGAGATAAATTACACCAGCACCACTATTTCTAATAAACAGAAGGACAAATATTTTCCTATTTCCCACCTATTTCTTAACCCATAATACTTACAAAATAAAAAAGCAATTATATGCCTATTATGTGTGTGTTTGCATGTATGAGTGCATGTGTTTATTGGAGGGGCGTCACCCAGCTGACTCTTTGTTTTACACCAGTCAGAACCTGTCTGACCAGCTCAGACTACTGAACAGAGGAAGACGAGTTTCTGTCTTAATACATGCATTTATCCTTCTAAAGACTGCATGAGGAAAAGAAGCCTCTTGTGTGTGTCCTGCACTTATCAGATATACTGTCTTCCTTATCCAAACACTTTATTGCATAAGGCCAGATAGGCCGCATTATCAGCCTACAATTGTAGTCCTGTGAATATCTGTATGGCTTTGTTGTTATTGGCACTGAAAGTCTAAGAAGGTGCATGGATCAGCATTTGTTTTAAGCCTTAAATTGTTATAGAGTCATGTATAGGACTTGCCCTAAAATCAGATATGCAAAAAACACGGCTGAAGTTATAGAGGCCGTTATCAATTATGGGATTTAGAGAGCTAGAATTCCCCCAACTCACATCTCATGGAATCTGTGACACACCAAATAATTTCTCTGAAATGACACAATAGGCCTGGAGATGCTGGTCGCAGTGGTTGTTTTAACTAGCCACATAGAAGTGGAAATCTCCCGTCCTTTGCCAGTATAAATACAGCCAACTCACTTTGACTCATGAGCCAGAACTGGCTTTGTTAGTGAGATTTGATTCCTATTGTAGATTAAACCCAGAACGGTTATTTTCACATGAAAGTTGGCCAAGTTCTGACTGTGCAGACCAAACACACAAACAGAGACACACACTGAGACAGTCATACATTGAGCCAGGGTGTTACATAAGCAGTGAATGTTACAGACGCTTTGAATAATGCTTGTGTGACTTTGTGGATGATTTACAACCATTTTGTATCTGTTTCAAGAATAATTTGAATAAATCTAACAAATTCCCACTTGTTTTTGTTTTTTCCAGCAGCATGCCAAGGCACCACAAATGGTTTAAACCTCCTGGGTTCCAAAGAGGACCACTACCTGAACATGGTGAAGACTTACAGCAACTGCACTGTCGTCTTGGGAAACCTGGAGGTCACCCACATTGAGGATGGCCGTGACCTGTCCTTTCTCACGGTAAAGCCTGTACTCTGTTAGCAGTGGAGGCCAAACAGGCACATAACAGATGGGAGAAGTTTCCTATCATCTCTTTGGTAGTCTTAATCCAGTTTGCCAGACAATTTATCCTGTATCTTTGCAGGCTGCTCACTGCTCTTATCGCTTCAGTACAGATAATTAAAATCAGTGGAGAGTAAGTCCGTAGTGACAGATGATTCAGTGTGTTCATGATGCTGTGAACACTGTACTGGCAAGGGACAAGCACACTCACATGCAAGCTTACACACACAAAGCTTACAGTCAGCAGATATCGTGCAGTAGTCCCAATGGTCCCTAGTAGAGAAGGGGCTTCCTGCTCACTTTTTGAAATCCTATTTTTGTCCACCCAATTTTTTGTTTGATACATTTCTCAGATCAGAGAAGCTTTGAAGCAATAAAATGCTGTTTTGCTGATAGTCACATCAATTTCCTTTACACTCACTGCAATAAGTGTTAGTAAAATTGACTTATTTCCTGGCACTCTTTGCCCTAGGTTTTGACTATTAAGCTACATACATACTGCTCTAAACTGCTCATCGATTCAATAAAACTAAATGTAGTTTCATGCGTACACCTGTAATAAATAATCAGATATTGACATGCATTTCACCATTATTTTGGATGACCAATTGTTCCATATTGTTTTGTAAGGTTGATAAGAATACAGGAAATAGCATTCACCAAGGTTCAGTTTTTAACTTGTTTTATTTTCATTCTATGCTTGGGGAACAATTGACTTTGCAATTTAGCTACTTCAGTTTTCCACAAGGTTCCCATTTGTATTTCTCCACAGTCTATTGAAGAAGCGGGCGGCTATGTGCTGATAGCCCTCAACACAGCGAAGAAGATTCCTCTGCAGAATCTGCGCATCATTCGAGGTCATTCGCTCTACGAGGGATCGTTTGGCCTCGCTGTTCTGACCAATTATGACCCAGAAACAGACAAGGACACCGATCAGCTTCTTCTCACCAGCCTCACAGGTCAGTACACCTCTCCATTGCCTTAGTCCTCTTTAACATAATTACTGTAAGAATATCAATCAAATAAATTCTGTATTTTTATCAAATTAACGTGGCATTTTCTTTTGCAGAAATTCTTAAAGGAGGTGTACAGTTTGGGACTAACCAACCCTGCAATGTGGAAACGATACAGTGGTATGACATTGTCAACGGTGATAACAAACCCAAAATGGTGCTGCCATTGGACATCAGCCCTTCGCGATGTAAGTAAAACATTCACAGCGCAGGGCAAAAGACTGCACAGAAATGTTTTACATGAAATTATTTGTATATTGTTAAACAAGTTGAAGGATGTGAGGTTCACATTTTAAACGCTTTCTTGTGGTTTGCTTTTATAAAGGCGAAAGATGCGACTCAAGCTGCTCTAATGGCTCATGCTGGGCACCTGGTCGTCAAAACTGTCAGACGTGTGAGTATCATTTTGTGATTTATTTACCCTGGAAAAACATGTTTGGTGAGGTGAAACACTACAAACAGTTTTCCATGTTTTTAGATAGTTTCTATACTCTACTTTTGAGAAACACTGAGTCTTAATGATTTATATTACTTGGTCATTTATTCAAATGTTTCCTGCAAACCAACAACACCAAGTAGGAACACGTTAGCTAACGTTCTCTATTGTTTTAGCCATAACTTGTACATGCAGAATGTTAACATCAAACATAAATAGAAGAACACTTGCTACAGGTCATTCCAATGACTGTGTCCTGTTTTATTTCCAGTCACAAAGCTGAACTGTGCAGAGCAGTGCTCTAAGAGATGCAAAGGACCTTACCCCATCGACTGCTGTAATGAGCATTGTGCTGCGGGCTGCACAGGACCGCGGGCCAGCGACTGTCTGGTGAGAGAAAGACACCTTCACATGGGGCACACGCGTAATGATATCATAAAGGACATTGGGAAGATACAAACTTAAACAACAAAATAGTGTATTTAATACCTCTGCAATTAATCTGGATGAGAGACGTTCAACCAAACAAAGCCCTCACTCATCTGTTTTTATGATCACACATATTGTTATTGTTTCCAATACCAATGAGACACATAACTGCTGATTAAATCTTTCATTTGGCAGTGCCTCGAGTTTGCTCTCTCTCTGTGTGCAGCTCTGAGGATTAAGCTGTGGCTGTGGAGGAATGCAGTGTTATCATTAGAGAGAGGCTCTGTTATGGTCCCTGTGTACTGGATGACTCTTGTTTGTGCTGCAGGCCTGTAGGGACTTCCAGGACGATGGGGTGTGTAAAGACTCCTGCCCAGGCCTCATGCGCTACGACCCCAACCTGCACCAGCTGGTACCCAACCCACATGGGAAGTACAACTTTGGGGCCACCTGCGTCAAGAGCTGCCCACGTAAGATTGGATAAACAGAGAAAATGCATTACATCAATGCACACAATGTACAACAATATTTTGTATTACTGCCGATTTTTATTCCATATTTTATTCCTTCTTATTCCATTTCATTGCAAAGAAAATACTGTTATATTGTACTATATTTTTTATTATTTTAAATATTGCACCAGCTGTGTGTGTGGGTGTGTGTGTGTGTGTGTGTGTGTGTGTGTGTGTGTGTGTGTGTGTGTGTGTGTGTGTGTGTGTGTGTGTGTGTGTGTGTGTGTGGTGTGTGTGTGTGTGTGTGTGTGTGTGTGTGTGTGTGTGTGTGTGTGTGTGTGTGTGTGTTGTGTGTGTGTGTGTGTGTGTGTGTGTGTGTGTGTGTGTGTGATGTGTGTGTGTGTGTGTGTGTGTGTGTGTGTGTGTGTGTGTGTGTGTGTGTGTGTGTGTGTGTGTGTGTGTGTGTGTGTGTGTGTGTGTGTGTGTGTGTGTGTGTGTGTGTGTGTGTGTGTGTGTGTGTGTTAGTGTCGTTCGTTCCGGTGCACTCCGGCAGGACTATAGCACTACATTAAGATTAAACAAATGTCTTTCACTTGGGAATACACATATAACTATGGAGAACCAGATGTGTGTAAATTACTGTTCATGGTAATTTGAAAACAAATGCCGGTGTCGGACACACACACACACACAGAGCGGAGCTGAGCACAAACACACATACATCATGCGCCCTGGTGACCGGACATCTCCTTGATAAAACGAGTAATAGGGGGGAATAATCGGGCAGTTCGATGTGTGTAGAGGTGTGTGTGGTTAAACGTAGCAGCCTCGATCTCTATTCAGCTGTTCTAATGAAGGGAAACACAGTCAAGTAAACAGTAAAAGGCACAGCTCTTTGCAGCTGGTGCTGCTCTTCTCAGATTCTGCTGAGTTACACGTTACTGCCTCCAGTGCCCTGTACGACGAAGCCAGTTCAACAGACCTGGATATGTTTGAGTTACCCGGCTTAAAGGGGACCTATCATGCAAAATGCACTTTTGTGCGTCTTTTATACATGAATATGTGTGCCCGGTGTGTCAGGGAACTCACCAAGTGTCAGAAAACACAACCATCTCTCTTTTCCTCCATACCCAAATCTCTAAAAAACGGGGCTGCAACGGATCTGATACAGATTTGAAATTGTTCTGACGTCAGAAACAGGGAGCTCCGCCTATATGGGCAACTCTCCACCTATCAGGGGAATGGGGGGTTGGGCCACGGCCACGACCATTGCTGCTCGAAAGCGCTGGAGACGCTGTAGTACATATGCCAGGCCTGTAAGTGGCGCTGTAGTCTGCCACAAAAGCAGCGAAGAAGACTTCTCACAGAATCAGCCCTTGCAAAAACAGGGCTGGAAAAGAGCAAATAGAGCGAAATGAGGCATGGCTAAAATGCATGATCTGTTTGGTATTTTGAAAAAAAAATTCACAGACATGTTTTATATAGGTATGGCCCTACAATATATTATTCAAATATAGCATGATAGGTCCACGTTAACTAACCCTAACAAACGCGATCTCGCTAAGCGGTCCTACGAAGCTGGTTATCAACTCAGTAAATCAACCAGGGTTTCTCTGTCCGGCTGAGCGCGTTCACGTGAAAGGGACGGGGTTAGCAACATTCGACCAATCACAAACATGGAGAAGCGTGCTGACAGCGCAGCGTCATACTTCATGAATGAATAGTAAATAGCAAATCATGCTTCGTAGTACAGGCCACTGGTGCCGCAGAGATTTCATAAAGTGAAGGAGGTTTTCCTTCTATAAAACAGCTGTGGGCAGCAGATACTGTGAGAGTCACGGACATGAATTCATAGATCAAAGCAGACTGGTTTACAGACTCTTCTGTTTTGCGAATCCGGTGCTTAAACAAATAGCTCAACCCCTGGCCAAAATGTCCCTAAATGAAGTCCGAGTTTGAAATATATCTCAAATAATGTATGCACTGCCATTTCTCCACATAAACATAACAGTCTGCAATGAAACGGTTGTCTCCTCTGTGCTCCACTTCCTACTTGGCGCACCGGTAACAAAATACTTTCTCGTGCGAACCTTTAGGGGCTCCGTATGATTCTGAAACTTATTATTTTTGTTTTGTATTTTTAGCCACGATTGCTAATACATTACTTAAACCTACTATACAGTGATATAACATCATTGCTATAGATGTTTTCTTGACAGTCATTCAATCAAAGTAAAACTAGTAGACTTCACTAGGCAGTATGAAACACATCATGCATGAATATGAGCTCTTTCACATTGAGGTATGCTGAACAAGGGCCCAAGTTGTCCTTCAGGGTTACACTTTGTCCAAGTTTAATTATAAACTTTAGAAACACGAAAAAGAAAATGATTAAGTTTCAGGGCGTGTTAATGCACAACTGTTCTTTCTCAGTTTAACTTACTTACTCACAGTCTGTCCTAGTGTTACTCAGTGTTTACTGTAAGGCCCAGCATTATTATGTACCTATAATTGTGCTTTTGATAGAAACTTGTGCGAGAGAGGATTGGTTTTGATGTCATTCATACTATAAACATTAAACATAAAATGGTTATGAAGTCAACAGCTTGTGTTTTGGAATGATTCCAGGTAACTATGTTGTAACGGATCATGGATCGTGTGTCCGGACGTGCAGTGCTAACACATACGAGGTGGACGAGGGAGGAATCAGGAAGTGCGCCAAATGTAATGGACTGTGCCCAAAAGGTGGGGGCTCAAACTATCACTCTGCAACCTGGGGACATTTTTGATGCACCAACTACAATATGATAATGAAACTTTCATATTACTGAAACACTAGCTATGATCCAATACATACTTATATAAAACTTTAAGAAACACACTGCTGGTATAATGAATGGACTTTTAGTTGTGATACTTTACAATATGCTTTCAACAATTGGTACTTTTACTTTATATTTTATTTTGATTCTTGTAGTGAAGTTAAGGTTCTGAAATCTACTAGTTTTTCCAACACAGTTTGTCTAAAATGCCATGCTCAGTTTGGTTTAACCTAATACCAAAATGAGAGTAAAGTCAAGAACTCTTAAAAAGTTTCTTAACTGATGTTGTTTTGTTATTGTTTACAGTGTGTAATGGACTTGGAATAGGAGACCTGACTCACATTATGTCTATCAATGCCACCAACATTGACTCATTAAAAAACTGCACGAAAATCAATGGCAACATTGCTATCATCCACACATCAATTCATGGGTGAGTTAAGGACAGTAAACAGTGTTACAGCCTGTATGCCTGTGTATGCCAACTATATCAACTGCAATACATTACCTTTTACCTTTAACAATGACGTAAAACATGTACATTATCATTATTTGTAGGGATACATTTACCAAGACACCAAAGATGGAGCTTTCCCAGCTTGAAGTGTTTAAGACAGTTAAGGAAATAACTGGTAAGACTACATAAGGAATGAGTAATGCACGACACCTTAAATACACATGAAACAGTTTAACAATTAACAATCCATGTGTTGCTTCAGGATACTTGTTGATCCAAACGTGGCCAGATAGCATGAGCTCACTCAGTCCTTTTGAGAATTTGGAGATCGTTCGAGGAAGAACTAAACGGTATGTTCCTTGTAAAGATCCCCCTGTAGATTCACAACCTTTAGATCACCAGAAATGAATCAAGCGTTGAGTATTATTCAAGGCTGTCGTAAAATCTTTCCTTTTTTTTCTTCTCCTCTTCCTGCTCCACTATTTTATCCTTGGTAGTGGTAGCCGTAGTTTGATGATAGCTCAGCTCTCTATCAACCACTTGGGCCTTCGTTCCCTAAAAGAAATCAGCGATGGAGACGTGGTCATCTATCAGAACCAAAACCTGTGCTACACCAACAAAAGCCACTGGAAGAGGCTCTTCAAATCAGAAAGCCAGACTGCCAACATAGAGGGAGATGCTGATGCTGCCACATGTGGTAAATTGAAATTGGTTTCCCACAACAAATTCAGCCAGATCCTTTTCGTTGATTTGTAACTTCTGATTACGCAATCCACCAACCAGATTCAATTAATGAAGTCTAATCACAAAATTGGATAATCATACGGGAAAGATCCTTGAGATTGTTTGTTTGTTTTCAGCCCTGTTGAACAACACTTGCGACAGGAAGTGTACCGCGGACGGCTGCTGGGGTCCCGGCCCTGACATGTGTTTTGCCTGTCGAGATTACAACCGAGTTGGGACCTGTGTTGACTCCTGCAACATCCTGGAGGGGTAAGGGAGTTTAATGCCTTTTAAGCTCTGAAATGCAGTGTTTTTGACGTTAGACAAACAAACCGTCTGAACATCAGATCTGTGCACTTTACAGTTAACTCCTTCAAAGTCCATTTTCATACCACAAGCATTTCCAGACTAGACACTGGGGATTTGTTATTGAATCAATTTCAAAGAGCAAATACGATCCAAGGTATTTTAAATTAAACCTCCAGAAGACAGAAGACAAACACTGTAGCTGAAATGGCACATTTACTCAAATCTGTTGATTTTTGCAGATCTCTGTCAAACATTTAATCTTGACATGCTTACACTTTAACTTGTGCCCTCAAAAAAGGGATTACATGTAACTTAAAACGAGGCGTGCCAGTGGTGAGAGTGTGTCAGCTTTGTTTTTGTTTTTGCAGAGAGCTGCGAGAGACTACGGTGAATAAAACCTGCATCGAGTGTCACCCTGAGTGTCATCGCATGAATGGGAGCGCGACCTGCAGTACTCCGGTACGTTTGACACAACTGAACACAAACATTATACAGAAACATTACTGTAGAAAAGTTTGGCGAACATTATCTATTCATCTCAAATGTCCTTAGTAAATGTCAGTCGCCCAGATTCAAAGAGAACCACAAATTAACAATTACGTAGCATGAATTCCATGGCAGAATTTTTCTCCATCAACAGCAGCTTTATTAGACCATAATGCAGTGCAGCCACAAGACGTGTTGTGTTTGGGATGAGGGGTGTGGCTGTTTGATCTAGCTGGAGCACAGTCTACTTCTGAATGCCCATAATCTCTTCTTTGACTGAAAATAACTGTAGGGAATGTAGGGTTTTATTATTGACAAGAGAAGTAGGCCGTTTGAAAGAAAAGTATTGCTTTGCTGCAACACTGTTGTGCTTGCATAAAGTAAATCCACAAATTCTGGGTGGGTTTTATTGTCAAACATTTGCATCTTTATGAGGAAGATGCGCACATCTAGCTTTGAGAAATTATTATTATGAGACAGGGCAGTTTACATAATATTTACTCCTCTCCTCAAGGGAGTTGTAAACATCTCAAGGTTTCTCTTTGTCTTTCAGGGATCTGGAAACTGTACTAAGTGTGCCAACTACCAGGATGGCCTGTTCTGTGTTCCTCGGTGTCCACAAGGCGTGCCAGGGGAGGACGACATGCTGGTGTGGAAATACGCAGACGAGATGAAAGTGTGCAAGCTCTGCCACAAAAACTGCACTCAGGGGTAACGACTTCCTGCAACCCAGATGAGAACTGGCACTGCATTTCTCTGTGTTGCAAACATTTGTCTGTCGTAATGTTGATGCAGTAACTTAATCCGATCCAGAAGGGTCAGCTGTGCTGCCACAAATTGTGGAGAAATTGGCTCCTAATATCAAGATATTTTTGCTGAGATTAGTGGTGAAATTGATCATTTAGGAGGGGAGGTTAATGAAGATTATAGTACAATTTCTAGTTTTCCCATTTACTTAACATTTTACACATCATTACATGTATTACTTAAGCTCTTTTTCCAAAGCATATTATCATTTTATAGCTTTCTAGATGCTGTTATCATTGGTTTCCATTTGTTTGCAATGGATAGAGGTCTGCACTGCACCATATAACAGAACAAACCTAACTTTTACAGAACTGAAAGCAGATGTTATGTTCACTGACTATTAACTTTCAGCCATGGAGGTGTGTGGTTAATGGTTATCTTGGATATTGTTTCAACCAAACCTGTGTTGATTGGCTTCTGTAACCATATTGTGCAACTCGTGTTTTGACTAGTATAGTGTTTTATAAATACAAAATTGCACTACCTTTAAGGAAACTGACTTCAATGGACCCCAGTTATTGATGCATTCTTGGTATTTAGTCTTGTAGGAAATTGCAGAGAACTTGGAGGCTTTTACAATATTTGCATTATTGCTTTTAGGATGACTATCACCATCTGGCAAAGGGACTATCGGTGAAAACTAGCCTTTTGGCTAATTCGAGTACTTTTACATGTTTTTAATATGTTGATTAATGTACACTGTCCCTTGTTTTAAATAAATCAATTCAATTCAATTCTGGCAGAAGTCGTCTTTTTTGCACACAATCGATTAAATGTGTTACGAAACAGAATTTGGCAGTCAGGGATACAAAAAAATGTGTGGAGACTGATTGCAAAGCCTTTCAAGGATTGTTTTAACTTCAAATGTAAACAATGGACTCATAATGACCCGGTGATTCTGCAGTGTGAAATAGAAATGATAGTATATATTCAAACTTTTTTGCATTGATTTCTTTACAGTTGCAGTGGGCCTGGTCTTCAAGGCTGCCAGAATAAAAGGTGAGTACATATAGTAACACTGATGCTGAAGGATAAACTAAGTTAGGCATTCTCATCTCTCCTTCTCTCCTTGTTTATTGAATTTGTAAATGTGCTCTGTTTTCCCTGCGTTGTTAAATGAGCTCCCACCTGTCTCTCTGCAGCTCTGGCCTCTCCATGATCGCGGCTGGTGTTGTCGGTGGGCTGCTGGCTGTTCTTATTGCAGGCCTGTCTGTGTTTGTGTTGATGCGCCGACGCCACATCAAGAGGAAGAGAACAACGCGCAGACTTCTGCAAGAGAGAGAGGTGAGATGAGGGGACTGAGTCACCACTCTTGTCGAGACATCAAGCTGTCGAGTGGAGCTTTTTTTTCACATGTTAATGATAATGTACAGTAAAACAAGCCTGATTTATGCTGAGACGGTTATTTTTACCCATCGTCTTTTGCTTGTAAGGGCAAGTGCAGGCATCTGTTTCAAATGATATATACAGTATGGGACTTTTCTCAATGTTTACATTTTTTTAAAGACTCTCTATTGCTGTTACTGAGACTGTATATAATATATTCAATCCTTCCTTTCCAGTTGGTTGAACCCCTAACTCCTAGTGGAGAAGCACCAAACCAGGCTCTGTTGCGAATCCTGAAGGAACCCGAATTCAAGAAACTCAAAGTGCTGGGCTCAGGAGCCTTTGGTACAGTTTACAAGGTAATAACACGTTTCATGCTGGTTTTTGTCTCCTATCACCTTTTTGTCAAAATTCGGCTCCAGCGTCGAGCTTTATTAGAGCTGGAGCTGAGCAGTTCTGCATGTGCCAAGTTTACATAACCAACACCCGTCACTGTTTTCGCTCATCTACATCTGTTGTCAATTTTTCAATTACAAGACGCATTTCTAACTTGCCAGATCATGCATGAGTGACTCCACTCAGTGTACATTTACTTAGTATTAATCTCATCAGGATATGTGTTTACACAGTGACATTGTGGGGACTAACTTGTCACACAGAGACAAAAGACTGATCTCTACTAAGTTTTCTTTTAGGGTTGATTTAAGGTTAATCTTTGGGTAAATCTGCAGAGGGAAAATTTAAATAAACCCAATGTTCTTACTGAGTACAAAAACAAGTGAGTGCGTGTGCTTTTTAATGATTAAGAGCCATTTCAGTTTTAGACCTTGAGGGACATTTTGTAAAGTAAGGACATTCAAATGGCTATTTGAGTGTTAAGATTTGGTTATAGGATAAAGGTTGGAATAAGGTTAAAGGACTAGGCATTTAGTTAAAGATAGTCAGTGTTGGAAGAAGTATTCAGTCAAATTACCAATTTCACACTCTTTTAATTTGAATTCATAGTTCTGCATTCATTCATTTTCTTAAGTAGAATATCATAAAAGATAGCATGAGAATGTAGTTTGAGGTTTTAAAAGTAATTAAGCCATTTGGGGCGGGTCGCTGTTGAATATTACGTATGATTGTATTACTTTATTTAGGTCAACTACATGAAGTGGAGTCAAAAGTATTATAGTACACTCTGAAATGAAACATGAAAGTAGCATAAATAGAAGGTCCTTAAAGTAAAGCTCAGTTATTGAGTAAATGTGCTTTTCCCACTCCTGGCAGGGTTTCATTTGAGCAATACATGAGCTTCACTGTTTGTACATTTTACTGTACATTTTACTGTACATTTGCATGTTCGCACTTGTGTTTAGTTGATGATTCAAGTGTAATAAAGCCTGCAAAATAACAAAATGTGTCCATACAGGGCCTGTGGGTTCCAGAGGGAGAGGATGTGAAGATCCCTGTGGCTATCAAGGTTTTGAGAGAGGCTACTTCACCAAAAGCAAACAAAGAGATCTTGGACGTAGGTTTACTGATTCATGTGGTACATTTTGTAACTCTACGCTTACTGTAATACTGAGTCAGAACTAAAACAGCCATTCATTTAAAAATACATTTCCAAGAATACTACAGTGTGTGCTACTGGTAGGAGAAGAAATGTTAAGTCAAAAAGTCTGTGCACATTATCACAATATAATAAAATATAATGCTCAGAAGTCGGAAGTAGTTGATTAATATGAGAATAATTGCTTCCAGATGTCAAATGAATAAAAGGGCCTCCTGTAATACATAGCACATGCAACTTTAATTTAAATGGAAGACTTCCTATTTTTCTTTGTATTAGAGAACGTGTCAAGTTTCTACAAAGTGACCTGTTACTGGCCTGTAAGGAAATGAGATTAATTCATTGGAGGACTGTGGTGGGCGTTGCTTTGTAACCCAAGGCAGAGGTGTTCTGGAAAGGAATGTAGATCTGTAGCCGCACTGAGAGAGCAGCCGGCATTATGATAACTGATGAATGTGTGCATCTGAAATACTGTGATTTTGCGATCATGTTTCTCAGTCACCGTACATCTGGAAGTTGAATCAGACAAACGCGTCCTCTGAACCTTTTGCCTTGGGGGCAGAGGCGTGTTTTTTAAATTACAGGGCTCCTAATAATAAAGTGGCTATGCACTGAACAATGTTCATACTGTAAGAGTCCTGTGGATAATGTTTGGGGTACATTGAATGTAGGAGTTCTCCTTAATAAAGCTAAGTTTAAGTGCTGTTTGCATGGTTTGGAGGAAGCCTGTTGATGGTGGCCTGCGAGGTTTATCCCCATGGTTCTTTCTTTAATTCGCTTTTCTGTTATGGTGACTGAGAGTTTCCACTTGCAGCTGAGCCACATAAAATATGCTTGGCTGGTTATGACTGCTGCTAAGAAACTTATCACCAAACACTGGACATTTAAACAAATGTCATGTTTCTTATGCTATCAGTTTTTTCATTGAAGATGGAAACGGCTGTGCGAAGTATTTCTGAAACAGACAATTTATTCGTAGCTATTTTTAAATAATATGAATTGTCTCCTTTCGCCCATGCACTAGATAAGGGGGTTATTTTTTTTGTTTTTGTTTCACCTGACTGCTTCCAATTTATATAATGCATTAAATGAAAAAAATATCTAACTGTGCCCCACAGGAGGCTTATGTGATGGCCAGTGTGGAGCACCCCCACGTGTGTCGTCTGCTCGGCATCTGCCTGACCTCCACAGTGCAGCTCGTCACTCAGCTGATGCCGTACGGCTGCCTGCTGGACTATGTCAAAGAGAACAAGGACAATATCGGCTCCCAGTACCTGCTCAACTGGTGTGTGCAGATAGCCAAGGTGAGAGAAAAGCTTGTAAAGGCATCAACTTACATAGGACAGGGTCTGTTAAAAAGCTACATTGAGCTTTACTTGCAAACACAAAACAGTTTATCCCGTCTCTATGTCTACCATATATATGATAACAACTAAATAAGTGGGTTTTTTTGCAGGGCAAGTTTTGTTTTGGCAACTGCTAGAAATAAATACTGTTGACTGCTATGATGTATTTGTTTATGATGACAGGTTAATCAAGAGACCACTTTTATATCTTGGATCATGTCTAATCAAGCAATGTTTACATGCCATATCAGACAGCTTTTGAAAAAGAGAACTGCGCTTATGTAACAACTTGTACTCGTTTGTTTGACTAAAGGGTATGAACTACCTGGAGGAGCGCCGCTTAGTACACCGTGACTTGGCAGCGAGAAATGTTTTGGTGAAGACTCCTCAACATGTCAAGATCACCGACTTTGGTCTGGCCAAACTCCTCAACGCAGACGAGAAAGAGTACCATGCAGATGGGGGAAAGGTCGGTGTCTGTCTGCCATAATAATTTCCAAAAGAAAATGTAATACATCCACAAAAAGGAGTGTTATGAAAAATTGTATATTACACATTTGTAGTTTTGCTCTAGATTGTAGCTATTGTAAAAGCTCTGTCACAGAGAAGAGACATGACAACAGAAATGTTCCTTCTCTTATAGATGTTTCTTTGTGACACTGAAAGCAATATGTTCCACAAAGAAAATATGTAGTGTGTGAGCTTGTAAATACAGGGGGACCTACATTATAGACATTCTGTAGCGCCCAATAATGTAATAGTTTCACTATTATTATATATATTATCATACATCCCAAATATTTGTATTATTTTGCTGTATTTTGTGACACAAACTAATCAAATCCATTGCTACAATTGAAATCTATTATGTCTATGGTAAATGTTATCATTTCCAGATAAAAAGGGGATTTTTGTATGTTAGACTATTGCAATTCACCACCACTAGGTGACAGTGTAGTTACTTGTAGTATGTGTTAAAGACAGTGATTGATTTCAGTTCAACAAAATACAACAATTCCTTCTACTAATGAATTGATGGCATTAATCTTGTCAGCAAAAATGATCTGATGCAGCACCGTGCTGTATTCATTAAAAGACAGCTTTTTTTTTGTAGGAAAATATATTCTATGTTAATGATCCAGTGAAGTTTATTGTCCAAATGTAATCAAAGGCACATTAGGGGGGCATTTTTATGTTGTAAATGTGCAGGAATATAGCCTTTTTGGAAGGTGGCAGAGGAAAAATGTAACGTCACTTTGTTTTGTTCTGCAGGTACCAATAAAATGGATGGCTCTTGAATCTATCCTGAACCGAACATACACACACCAGAGTGACGTATGGAGTTATGGTGAGTCTTTACGTGGAGAACACATGCTCTGCTTCTAACCCAGTGAGGCATTAACACTGCTTGCGATGCAGACTGAGCTCGGATCCTTGTGAAACTTCAGATATGTAAAACAGCTGTGCTTCTATACTCCTGAGTTTTGGTGACCGTCTCACTGGAGAAATATTTATTCATTGCCAAATAAAGAGCTTAAACAGCGAAGGCAGTTTTGAAGATAGGATGTTGTTTTTGGATCCATCAACATTTCAAAACAGAAATTGAGAACATCTTGATAGCATCTGTGAGTTTTAGGACACAGGTAACACACCTACACAGCAGCAGTCTCAAATGGACAATAACAGAACAGAAGGGATTGTTGCCACAACCCACGTTAGTATTTCGTCCAGCACCAGCAGCACAGGTGCCAACACACTGAACAGCTTTCTTGCATTGGTCAACCTCCAAATCTTCTTTCCCCGAGGGTTTTGATGATGCCTTCCGCTCAATATGGCGAAAGCATCAACAGATCCTGGCAGAAGTGACAAGCTTCCTTTCCTCCTTTTCCCCATTCCTCAGTTCCTCCAACACAGATATGCATCCTGCTAACTCCCACTCCTGCAAGCAGAGCCAATTTGTCAACACAGTTATTTTGATTCTGTGTGATATTTGGGAAGCTTGCATCCTGTCATTCTCATTTCCTCTCTTTTATCGGGAGCCATACAAAGTGAATGACAGCTCAACAGACTGACATATACCAACTGTCCTCCTCTCTGTAGGCGTAACAGTTTGGGAGCTGATGACATTTGGGAGCAAACCGTATGATGGGATTCCAGCCAGTGAAATAGCCGGGGTCCTGGAGAAAGGGGAGCGACTGCCTCAACCTCCAATCTGTACCATCGACGTCTACATGATCATGGTGAAATGTAAGTGTAATGGGCTATGTTTAAAACCATTTTTTAATAGTGTATTCACATGATATATACCTTTTTGAATCAGATCTACAGGTCGGATGTAAGTTTTATATTATTTCCTTGTCTAATGAGGATATTTGCTGATGTGTGTGTACAGGTTGGATGATTGATGCGGACAGCCGACCACGTTTCCGGGAACTTATAGCTGAGTTTACAAAAATGGCACGGGATCCTTCTCGATATCTGGTCATTCAGGTAGGATTTCACATCACATCTTTAGTCACAGTTTATTTGTCTTTGGATAAAACCATTGTACACCAAGCTGACTAGCTACATGTTATTTTCTATCCCAGGGCGATGATCGCATGCACCTACCGAGTCCTTCAGACACTAAATTGTACCGCAGCCTGATCAGCGGAGATGGCATGGAGGACGCTGTGGACGCTGACGAGTACTTGGTGCCACAACATGGCTTCTTCAGCAGCCCGAGCACCTCCATCACCCCGCTGCTTCACTCCACAGTAAGCTACTTCCTATTAAAAAGTCCCAATCAAAGGTTGTGGAAAAGGTGTGTCTATGTGTATCTATCTCTCAGGCTCAGGTGTCATTAGTTGAACTTTGGCACAGATTTTGGCAACAGCTGAGAAAACGATGCATCCTGGCACAAACAAAACTAAGATGGGATTTATTCAATGCCACTGCTGATATATCAGAACAATCTTTCAGAGATGAACCCTTTCTGCTTTGTGGTCGGGTATTTTAAATGCAAAACGAATGGTATAATTTAGACATTTCTAACTTTATAAAGCCTCTAAAAACCTTACTAATCTAAAGCTGCTGAAACCACTGGTCCAATTCAAAAATGTTAATGCAATTTCAGGCCTGAAGAGTCGTTTTTTTTGTTGGTAAAAGTATTTTAGGCAAACAACCATGTACTGGCCAGCAAAATAGTTATTACGCAAATGGCCTCTGAGTCACTCATGGTGAAGACTGACTACTGCATGTGTATGTGAAAGGTGGAGTAGTTTTACTGAAATGCATACACATACATTGTATACAATGTATATACAGATTTGAAAATACTAAGCTACAATTAGTTGCATTAAGCTATTATATATGTTACCTGATCCACCACATTTACTTCTATTCATATAATGGTTTTACATATATTTGAGATCCAGAATATTATCACAATATTGTCCTGAGTAAGTTTTCAGTCAATACAGAGTTAACTGTAAAAAGAAAAAAGTAAATATAATGATACGCAGATACCTTTACATACACACACATCGAGTCACTCACATTGACCTTTTTTCCTATCGAAACAGTGTAAGAAGAGTAGCTTGCCAGATGCTACGGGGGAATGATTACATTTCTCAGAAAAGAAAGCAGCAATAATTGTTGATTAAGAAATTGCACCACATGCACCAGCAGTGCACATTTTACCGACATGCAGTCAACTATTTGACATTTTAATTGTGCTATTTTAGCAATGTTTTGGGAAATGGGGTTTCTGCATAAATCATTACCCTGAGAGACGGAGTGGAAATAAACTCAGTCATTTCTTCAGCTTGTTGGAAGTAATTAGCTTTCACATGAAACAGAACACTGACAGTTAAACTGAATCCAGGTGATCGAACAGCAACAGTCAAACTGATTGACCTTAAGTTGAATTCAAGCAGGTAGTCGTACCTGACTTGAACCCTGCTCATATTCTGTTTAACTGTGACCAGAGGGACTATTTCTCCACTTCCTGACCCCTACCCACTCACCCTCATCATCTTCCCCTCTCCCACATTTTGTCCCAGCTGCCCTTTGATTGATGATAACTGAAAAGGAGAACTCTTCTACCTCAGGTTCAGTGAAGGCCATGCGTAGGTCTGGCTCTCACACCTGGGAACATTGCCCGCACTGACAGCCTGGTTAGCCGATACAAACTTTAAAGTGTGATTACCTTTGCAGGCACCTTTTAAAAATCTGCGTCCAATAAAAGCTCAGCGGAGGCCTGCTTTTGTAATATCACAGTAGGGGCATGGTCCACGTGGTCAAGTTTTTTTACAGATGGTTGCTCCTTCGGCGCGTTTAATTTCCTTTTCTTGTTGAAAGTAATTGCATCGCCACAGCTGTCACTTTGTTCTCTGTATTCACCCGGTTTCCATGGTTTTAACACCATTCACAGTCCTTTCACTGGAGGATATGACAGACACAACAAAGCTGGTGAGATTGCCTGAATGAATATGAATCGGCTCGGCGGACGTTTATTTCGATCCTCATCAGCTTGTACAGCGATGACAGCTGTGGTTTCGCTGTTACCATAAAAACACATTATTATCACTTTTCAAAGGGAAGTAAATGTCCCCTGGGAGGCTTTAAAAGAAACCACAGTGACCGAAAGTAAATATTTGCCTAATTAAAATGAGCACTATCTTTGGAGTATGCATTGAGCTGATAATGCCTGTCCATTTAAATGGTAAACCTTTCTTCACTTAAAGTCTACTTTATGGTGCACAGAGGCTTATTAAAATGTGTGATGGATGTATTAAAAAAATGTCTTGCTCTGCATTTAAAGTGGTGTCATCATGAGATATTAATTAATGTCTATGTTCATTTACAGAGCCTCAACAGTAGCATTGGAACGTGCCACGGCAGAAATGGCATATTGGTAAGACGAAATCAATCATTTTGAACTTAGAGCAAATTGATTTCCTCTTTGTATGATTTCCTCTTTGAGTTTTATGCACCACAGCCCTAAAAATGTCCTTCATTTGTTGTAGAATGGATTCCCGAGCAGAGATGGCAGCATGGTCCTCCGATATATTCCTGACCCCACAGAAAAACTTTTAGATGACGCCTTCCTACCATCTCCAGGCAAGTATCCTCTAACTTCAAAACGCTTCAGTGGCACCACTATTTTATGTATGTAAAGTGAATCTCAGTGAGAAAGTGGGCCATCTAGTGGACAAGGTGCTGTACTTATTGCACCGCAAACTTATTTAGTATTGGTGGATGCAGTTGAGGGATGAAATGAATAGTGGCAGAATTAAGGCTGTACTCTTGACCATAACAACTTATATTATCATCTATGTATTAGCAACAGTACCACCTTATTTAGATTTTTCTAAATTCCATACAGGTTGTTTTTTCGACTCGTTGAGAGCACTAGCACTAGTCAGCAACCTTTTAGTACACACAAGCTTTGCAATTCTCATTGTTCTTTTGATGTCATCAGAATGTACTTCTTAGTTAAACATAGCTCATAAATGCAATGCTTTTCGACAGCACTAAACTTCCTTGAATGAACCATTAGGGAGACTTTTCAGAACCTACTGTATGCTCCTCAAAAATGTATTGACCCGTGATATAAGTAAAGCAAATGTACTTCTCACTGTGATAAGCTGGTTGCCTATAGCATGTTTAAAGTATTTTGTTAACCTGGTACTCAAATGTTTTTAGTATTGCCCTTCAATTGCAAGAGCCATATTTCTAAGAGATTGTTCAAAATCAATGCAGACAAGAGGCATAGACATCCCTATTTAATAGTTATAGCCCTTGTAATAATGAAGCTTAACAATCACTTGATGCTGCGTTTCCCATAATGTGTCTTAATAGGCATTCACTTGTTTTAAAAGTCCTGCCCATATATTACACAGAATACATTATATAAATGTTTTGACAGTTTCTGTCTGAAAGTTTGGAAATCAATCTGCAAACTTTTTGGTTTGACAATGATCCGCAGTGCAATGATTTAATGACTTGCAGTTAATGGTCTGAAACATACCACCATTATGTTCTGTTCATTTAATAAATGACCTGCTATTTTCTATATAAGCTGTGTGTACACTTAATGAGAACCTATCAAGTGTTGTTGCTAATGTCACTGACTTTCTTACAGAATACATGAACCAGAACGGAGTCTCTGATGTGATGAATCCCATCTACCAGCACCCGGGTCCTCCTCGCACCATGCTGCCCACCATCTCCTCAGACGACACAGAGTCAGAGTACCTTAACTGCTTTAAAAACGAGGCAACTGGACCCGAGTATCTGAACGAAATCCCGCTCCAAGCCACCCACCCACTCCACTCGAATGGCACGGTCCACAGCGTTCAGAAATACCAGCCACAGAATAGCATGGACAACCCGGATTATCAATATGATTTCACTCCCGCCTTCAAGACCCACGCCAACGGACACATCCCAGCGGCGGAGAACGCAGAGTATCTGGGCCCAGACTGAGGTCTTATTGGATACAGACAATACGTTTCCTGTTCCATTAAGGAAAGGCATTGATGTCTTGGATGGGAAAACATAGCTAAGTGGTACCATCAATTATCATTTATGTTAAGTGACACTTGGCTGAGCTTTCCGTGTTGTTTGCATGCAGCCACACAAAGCCCCTCTCGTTCCAAAGAGTTGTTCTTACTACAAATGACTTTTTCTTGATGAAAGTGGCACTCGTACAGGACTCAGTTAACCTGAGATTTGCTGGAAAAAAAGCGCTTCGTTCATCTGTTGTAACCCCTGTCAGAAAGTAAAAATCGCGTTTGAATGTTATGCGCCAAATGCTGCAAGTGATCCTAATGTGTCAGTGGAGGCAGAAGCTCTACTGCCAACAACAGCAACTGGCAGCTCAACCCCCAAAAAACCTAAGGTACATGTGTTGCAGAAACATTGGTTATATACGCAAGGGACACAGTGGTGCGCTCACTTGACACTGAAGTGAAGGCTTAGAGCGTTTCTCTGGGGCGACGGTAAGACGATTAAAGGGTTTTAAGAGTAAAATGCTGGCTGGACTGTTGGGGACCTCGGAGGCCTGACGACACTCATCCTGAGGGATGAGTCAACGAGGAAACAAAATGTTGCAATGTACAGAATGTATAGTCAGTTTAAATGGGAAACTGGTGAAAAGTTTAAATATGTTACTTTTATGGTCTAAGACAGTTCTGTATGAACTTAAAATGGGTTGCTTCCTCATTTAGATGGAAACAAAAGAGTGTGTGATATCACACAAACTTTAAAAAGAATGTAACGGTAAATAGCAATTGCTATTGTTGTATTTACACATCTGTGTTTAGCTGTTGGAAACTAGCAGGACCTCTGTGGCATGGGCCATATTTATGTGAACCCAAAAAGTGAAAATCTGAGTAAGTTTTTTATCAGTATCGCACTTTAGTGTGTGTGCTTATAAAATGTTTTACTTGGGAAGCTACAGTAAAAAGTAAAGGGAATAAAACCACCTCTGTTTAAATGCATATCAATAGTTGTACTTTTTTTGTATGTTACATGTGTCCACTTGTTTGAAAAATGCTGTTAGAACTGTCTTAGGTCATGTCAGTAATGTGTTTCCCTATAAACGTGAGTTGTTTTACAGACTATGAATAGTTTCATGTCTGGTCAGATACAAATATTTGTTCTGATGTATCTATTTTATTACCTGGAGACTTGTCTTTGTTTGAATTTCTTTTTTTAACAAAAGTGTATACAGTTGTTTCACGCCGGGTGTTGACACCATATCTATGAATTTGCTCTTAGCTTTTATGTCTTGTAGTCTTGCAAGAGCATTACATTTGCAAATATTCTTCCTAGTTTTAAAGGAAAATATTATTGTAGCAACATGAAAGCCTACTTTTGCAGATTTGACACAGGTACATGTACAGAAAACAGAGATTATACTGTAATATACCCCAAAATAGTCACCTATAATTTATACACAGGTTTTCACATCATACGTGAATATGCACTTATTCCTGAATTGTGATCATATCATTCAAAGGTGAACATGAATAAATCTTTTTGCTATGTAAATACCATTTGTCTGTTTTCTTTTCCCATAGCTTTAAAGAGTATAGGGCGTGATACAGGAAGAAGGACTTATGACCCCTGTGATTTTCTTATCAGTCTTTTTATCTTGATTCCTGCAGAACTTCAAGGAGCAATTTGATGAAACACTCTTAGCAGATAATAAGCGTCTTTTTCCAATAAACAGATCGAAGGTGGTGTTTGCGTTGATGTTGTTTATTCTCCTAAAATATGGTAATGCCTGCGGTGTTTAAGAATTAAGAAACTACATTAAATTAGTGTTTACCTGAGTGGAAATTAGTAGATGAATCACTTTGATTAATTTATTATAATGAGTTAAGAGCTCAGGATTTCTGAAAAATGTTTTAACTTTAGAGTTAAAGATGATAAAATCGAGTACGGGGTTAGAAATGGGCTTTTTAAGTTTATATTTTAGTTTTGCACATTTTAGAGATGTTTGAGTTGGTTTCAAATCCTAAATATTTCTTAACAACATCTATTGTGTTTGATTAAATCAAAGTGAGGGGGGAAATGATTCATAGTTAATCATTAATTAGCCTTATTGAATCCAACAAAAATAAATGTCAGTTTGATATGCTTCATCAGGACTGATGGCTGTGCTTTGATCAGATTTGACAATTTCCACCACACTTTATGCAGACAAACAGAAACAAGGAAGATGTGTTCACAGTAAAAAGAGCGCATATCATACTTGTTGTTTTATGTATATTTTGATTTAATATTAAGATTTGGATATAATGTTTTTTTTGTATTATTATTATCAATAATTTAATTAACAATGATAATAATTTGTCTTTCTTTGTTAAGCAAAAACAGATTTTTCTTACTTTTATTTTACATGGAAGTGCTCTGTAATGTTCATTCATGCAGTGACATAAACTGCCTTATTTAATTAAAGAAAAGTCTATCATGCATGCCTTTAAGGTAAAGGCAATACTACTTCAGGATGAAGATCCCTAATTGACTCATTTGTTTTAATTTGTGTACATTGAAGTTTGCATGTAAACATTGTCTTCAACAATTGTTCGTTCAATGACAAAGTATGATTTTAGTGTATCTCAAAATGTAAACTTTAATATCAATTGTACACTTCTAATAATCTTTTTATTACTAATTGGTTTTGACATTTTGAGAATTATGTAATTTGTATTTATATATATTTTTTATATTTTTTATGATTTGAAATACTTTAGATATCCAATTTGCTATCTTCATAAACCATGTCCATACTTTGTGGTTTCTCCTGCACAATGTTCAAACATGTTGTACTTGTTATATGCTACACCCAAGTAAATGATAATACAATAAATTACAATCTTGTGAAATAAAATAAATAAAATAAAATAAAATTGAATAAAATAAATGTAATAACAATTTAAATAAATTAAATTAAATACAAATAAATGAACAGTTGTAGTGCGTACTAGGCATCGCTAGGTGGCAGCACTGAGGCAACAGTTTGTCTCCGCCCCGAACAAATAATCCGACGTAGAAGAAACATCAACAAGAAATGCGAAAGTTCATGCGGACTGTCACTTCGAATCGGTCGTCTCAGTAAGAGGGATGGGAGTCCTACCAGGGAGAAGCCTTTTATCTTTACTTTTCTTCATTATTCTCTTGTTGGAGGGACATTTTCGATGGGTAAGTGAAACCTAACGCCCGATTTCTTGTGACTAAAAACATGACTCAGCTCGGTCGTTGCTACGCTGTTGTTTATCTGAGGCGGCTAACGAAACTAGGACGTTTAGCTATTTAAGATTTCTACTCTTGTTTTTATCCCAGGGCAAAAATAGCGTTAGTCACTAATTGGCTTAACAGTAAACAAAACATAATGGCTACCATCATTGCTAGTTGCAAACTGCACAGCACGACAAAATGATCACATAACATGTTAGCTTTGACATGTCTCACAGAAGGGTACAGGTTGTATCTTTCACTCTGAGCCGGTGTCGAAATAAGTTTCCTGCTCACCATCATGCCTTAACAGATTTAAAATACCCCCTAATTTGCATAACTGTTCAAACAAAGCTTAGGTTAGTGTGTTCATGACGGTTAATGTTGTAATTACCCAAAAATATGAATGTTAATACCTCACAAAACAAGTCATTCAGCATGTAGACCTTAGGTGGCTTGAATGCTAGGTGCAGCTAGCTACATTCATTTAAATATCCATGTTTGGATATGTAATATCTTTGTTATGCAATAAATAGGAGTTCAGATAATGCAATCAGATAATGCAATCATAGTGAGAAGACAGAGGAAACTTGAGTGTGTGTTTGTTTGAGCAGCAGTGTTCAAGGGTAATATATTAACTACTAAGAGAGTAAGAATAAATACAAGGTTAAATGAGCAAGTAGTACATGGACATTACAAGAGGAAAGACAGCAAAAATGTTAAACAGATTATTGATATAAAGGTGTAATACACAAAATCCACTGTTCCAGATGCCCTGCTGTAGTTTAATGATGAGTACTCTTTTTTTACACAGACACCATCAATTATATATCAAGTCGATTTAGTGTATTTTTGATAAGATGTTATTTCACAACAAACCAGACAAACAGATCTATTCACCTGATTTGATTGAATCAGATGTAGATACTCACTCATCAATAGTGTCTCCCTTGCATTGTTAGCATTCCTATTCATGTGGTAATTTGGTCAGCCCACTACAAAGCATAACCACTTCGCAACTGTGCTAAAGCAATACATCAGAATCTGATTGATCATTGCTGTTTCAGTGTACATGTCTGCAACTCTGCATCCTCCTTAAAGAAGTAGGATGTGGTACGACTATTAAACTATTAAAAACTATTGTAAAACTATTGACTGTTGGGAGACTGCAGATAAGCAGAAAGGCATTTCTTTAAAAGGTGTGTGTGCTAGTTCCTTTAGTTAGGTAGGGGTAGGAGGTGGTACATAATATTTATGATCCAGAAATCTAGGTGTAGTCATGGACTCTGACCTGAGTTTCAACAGTCACATTAAAACAATTACTAAATCTGCCTACTATCACCTAAAGAATATTTCTAGGATTAAAAGACTAATGTCACAGCAGGATTTGGAAAAACTTTGCCATGCTTTTATCTTCAGTAGACTCGACTACTGTAATGGTGTCTTCACAGGTCTCACTAAAAAATCTATTAGAAAGCTGCAGCTGATTCAGAACGCCGCTGCTCGAGTCCTCACTAACACTAAGAAAGTGGATCACATCACTCCAGCTCTGAAGTCTTTACACTGGCTTCCTGTGTGTCAAATAATTGATTTCAAAATATTGCTGCTGGTTTATTAAGCTTTAAATGGTTTAGGCCCAAAATACATTTCTGACCTACTGCTAAATTATGAACCATCCAGAACTCTCAGGTCTTCAGGGACTGGTCAGCTTTCTGTCCCCAGAGTCAGAACTAAACATGGTAATATCTGGAACAAACTCCCAGAAACCTGCAGGTCCGCTGCAACTCTGACTACTTTTAAATCCAGGCTGAAGACTTTTCTTTTTGCCGCTACTTTTAATTGAACTATTCACATCTTAAACTGCACTGTAACTTTTATTCATGTATTTTTTCTTTTAATGTTTATTTTATTATCTTTGCTTTTTAATGAATGTTTTTAAATGCCATTTTCTTAATGTCTTTCATTTTTTGTAAAGCACTTTGAATTGCCTTGTGTTGAAAGGTGCTATATAAATAAACTTGCCTTGCCTTGCCTATGTATATAAACCACTTTAAACAAATATTGCAGTTTCTGATCCTTGCCCAATAAATCCACCTTTCTTACAATTAGTCCTAAGCAAGTTGACTTAGGACAAAATGAAATCTTTTTGAAACACTAGCTGAAGCAATAATGACACACGAAAGCTGTCCTTGAACTATTCTCACAAGACGCAGTAGGACGGTGAGTAACACTGTGCTTACTCATAAAAAAGTTTGTAGAGTAAGTGAATTAACTTCCCCTCCCAACAAAGAACACGTGAGAGCTCTCATGCTGAATAAACACACAACGGACAACTTTGACTGCAAAAGCTATACATTGTTTTATACATTTACTTGTAATTCTATGTTATTGTATTTTTTCTACCATATATTCAAAGAAAATGTTTCAAGTGCTCATATTGAACTTTTTGTTGTAGCCATAACAACAGCGGCTGTTATGTTGCTGTAGAAATCCGACAACAGTTCTCCTTTCTCTGGCCTTTCTTGACATGGACTGCTGGGTACTGCGAGTCAAACAGTGATCACACGATGTGTCTACACTTACTCTTTATCTTTATATGCTTGAAACATTTTTGCAGAAGTGAAATTACTATTTTCAGACATTCAAAGCACGAGATATTAGAAACAAAGGAAATGAGACATGCCTAGAGGTTTGCTGTGGTTATATATATATATATATATATAAATCCTCAAGGTAAATAGGTAGAGCTTTAACATGAGATCAGAGTTGTCCTTTTTAGCATCCAAAACCATGTCGCATGTCACATGGCCTTTGTGGCATTTTAGAGGAACTATTGGTCTGTTTGGACTCTCTGTTTTCGCTTGTTGGCTAGACATTGAACTTGTCCTTAATAGATACGAATAGAAGCAGGCTCCTATCAGTAAAAACGACATAATATTGAACAGACTCTGGAAAAAAAAAAATAAGAATATTGATTGGATGCGAATAGACTAATATGTTTTTGCTCTAACACTTCACAAATCATCACTGTTTCTTTTGTTGTCTTTCTGTCAGGTTGAGGCCCAGCACTGTGTGTGGTATGGCGAGTGTGGGGAGTCCGCAAAGGTGCCCGGAAAGAAATACAACTGCAACGACACTGGTCCTCCCAAACCACTGGAGCACGAGGGTTACGAACTTCTCACGGTAAATACAATGTCATGATGCTGTTATTGATCACAATTGATGTTCAAAGTGCTCTTGTGTGACCATGCATACCTGCTTTATTTTGCACTGTGTAAAAACTATGCAAAAGTGCATCAAAGTGACCTCATTCCTTTTGTGTTTACTTACAGGAGCTTTGTCCTGGATATGACTATGACAACCGAAGCCTCTGCTGTGATATTAACCAGCTGAACACTCTCAAAGGAAGTCTCCAGCTGCCCCTTCAGTTCCTGTCTCGGTATGCACTGCGCTTATAACATTAACTAATTATGCACATGACATTCTTGGAAGGGCAGTATCATTCCCTTCCTCAAACAAAGAGTAGGAGCATCTGCTCTTTTGACAGCTTAAATGTCATATACTGTTATTCGAACATGCAAGCCTTTGCTTTCCATGTTTCAAATAATGGGTTTAAGACAGACTGGCTCCGAGGCCAAATGAATATGATTTGACTAGGTTGGCATATTTTCTTATCTTTGTAAGCTTTAATTACTTCACTGCATACTGTATTGCCTTGTTTTTGCCATGAAACTATTTTATTATTCTTAATGTCCTGCACATACTCCTTTTCTTAATTTGTTTCCCTTCTTCCTCTCACACTCACTTTGTCTTTGTGCAGTTGTCCCGCCTGTTTCTTCAACCTGATGAACCTCTTCTGTGAGCTGACATGCAGCCCTCACCAGAGTCAGTTCATGAACGCCACCAAGATCGAAGAAGGCAACGTGGTGGAAGTGCAGTACTACATTGGACAGACATTTGCTAATTGTGAGTTCACAGCCAAATGTTGATGTAGATATGAAAAGCAGCTTCACCTTCATTATTTCCATGGCATGTCACATCTGCTGAGTGTACTTGTTCCAGTTCCCTACTTAAACATACAGTCATGCTCATGGTAATGTAATACAGTAGGTGACTAACCGTTGTAATGAGTCATTTTGGTCAAATAAAATAGGGAATGAACCATTTAACCTTTGGAAAATCTTAAGCCTCGTCCTAAAATGATCAAATTGAACTTTTTCAGCCATGTACAATGCCTGTAAGGACGTCCAGGCACCATCCAGCAACGTGAAGGCCTTATCACTGCTGTGTGGGAAGGACGCAAAGGACTGCAATGCTACCAACTGGATCCAGTATATGTTTGATATCAACAATGGACAGACTCCCTTTCCTATCCTCCCAATATTCACAGGTAAGTCATTAATGTGTGTTCCTTTTATAGTTCATGATCCCGCTGTAGAAAAATACACCTACTGTTTCTTTTCAGCAAGTTAAAAAGATGTTTACCTGATGCTTTTTCTACGATTGTTTTTTTTGCTCTAGACGCCCCTGTGTCTGGTTATACTCCCATGAACAACAAGACGTTCGCCTGCACAGAGGGCCTGGATGACGGGTCGGGCCCCTGCTCCTGTCAGGACTGCACAAATGCTTGTGGGCCCAGACCTGTTCCTCCCCCCCTCCCCCCTCCCTGGCTGATCCTTGGTATGGACGCTATGACCGTCATCATGTGGCTCTCATACATGGCCTTCCTGCTTGTCTTTATCGGAGCTGTAATAGGAGCCTGGTGTTACCGGTAAAGGACATTGTTTTGTTTTTGCTTTCAGATTCATGTGTCATACCTGCAAACCCTTATCCACTGTGAAAAGAACATATTGTTTTGTATGCTTGCTTTAGAAGCTTGTATCAAATTGGCTTATGTTTTTTTTTTTGCATGCAGGAAAAGGACTGTCCTTTCTGAATATGGCCCCATATTGGACAGCAATAACCCTTTGTCTCTCAACGGGGACAATCCTGAACAAGGTATTGTGATGCTTCACACAAGTGAACAGTTTTGTATTCTTTCTGATTGTTGTGCCACTAAAGTTCCCCTTGTTTTATTCCTCTTTAGGTGTAATGCATGTAATCACATTGTTAAAGGGGCTCTATTATGCTCATTTTCAGGTTCATATTTGTATTTTATTCCTCAACTATGCTTTAATATTCAAACTGGTCTTTATTTTTCTCATACTGCCTGTGCTGCAGCACCTCTTTTCACCCTCTGTCTGAAACCAGAGCCAAGTCTGCTCTGATTGGTTAACTGGCTGGCTCTGTTGTGATTGATCAACTGCTTAGAGATGAGATGACCCGCCCCTTAACCTATCATGTACAATGTGTTGGACTGCTAGCCAATAGAAGGGCAAGTGTTACATAGTGATCTATGTTACAGAAGTAGGAGTCCAATGGAGGCATTTCAGACAGAGGGGGAGGGGGGGGGGGGGGGGGGGGGAACTTTACGATTTTAGCCTTTTCAGAACATTTACATACACAACAAAACCTGTATAACTCACTACAGCGAAGGGAAAACCCTAAAAAGCAAAGTAGGGCCTCTTTAAATAAGACATCTTTCTGTCTCCTCTCCTCTTAGTAAATGCATCATGCTGCGAAACTTTGGGTGAACGCTTCGAGAACTCTCTGCGGACCCTCTTCACCTCCTGGGGCTCCTTCTGCGTGCGGTACCCCTCTGTGGTCATTCTGGGGACCCTGATACTAGTGGTGGCCTGCTCTGGGGGCCTGATCTACATGCGCATCACCACAGACCCTGTGGAGCTGTGGTCGTCTCCGAGCAGCCAGGCCCGGCAGGAGAAGGACTACTTTGACAGCCACTTCGGACCCTTTTTCAGAACAGTGCAGCTCATCATAACCACTCCAATCGTGGACCCTTTTAACTACTCTCCATACTTTGGAGGATCTGATGTCCCATTCGGAGCCATCCTTCGTAAAGACATCCTGCACCAGGTTGGTTTGTGTGAGAAATCATTTAAAAAGAGGAAATTAGCATTTAAGCCGCTGTGTTTTTGTATAAAGAAGCATTGTTCCTGTCACCAGGTTATAGTTACTTTGCATGAGAAGAGCAGCTGCACTTCTGAAACTGCGGTTCATTTGTTCTCTTTTTTTGTCTTTGTCAATTTTTTCCAGGTGCTGGATCTGCAGCTCCAGATAGAAGACATCGTAGCCACATACGAGGGCCAAGACGTCACTTTAATGGACATCTGCTTGGCTCCGCTGGCTCCGTACAATAACAACTGCACCATCTTGAGTGTCCTCAACTACTTCCAGAACAGCCATGATGTGCTGGACCACCTCATAGGAGACGACTTCTATGTCTATGCTGACTTTCACAGCCACTTCCTCTACTGTGTCAGGTGATTTAATTTTGCTGGTTCACTTTTTCAATATTTTCCAGATAAGCTGGCACTTGTCTTAAATGAGTCTTATTTTCCAGCAGAAATCTGTTGAAGTTAAGGAAACGTTGATCTCGTAGAAAGGTTATTTTGAACCTCTTTGTTGAAGCTGAACACCTGCAGCTCACAAACCAAGTTTCCAGACTCTTGCATCTGCATTTTCTTGAAATAGTCCAATCAGACTTCCTCATTGTTTGTCACACTGCTGTTCCTTATCTCTCTTAAATGCACAGAAATAAGATCAGGTAACGGCACATGTTCCAGTCTATTAACTCTGTTCCTCTTTTCCTCCTCAGTGCACCTGCATCCCTCAATGACACCACTCTCCTCCACGACCCGTGTTTAGGAACCTACGGTGGGCCCATCTTCCCTTGGCTTGCCCTTGGGGGTTACGATGGTGAGCTAGACTAACACTTTTAGAGGGCGGAAAAAGAAGAACACGGAAGCCATTTTACAACTTCTCAGTAGATTGTTATATTGCACTAAGAAAATAAAAATCTGTGCACTTTGTGTCACTAACTTTCTTGGTGTGAATCCAAAATGTTATCCGTAACACTTGATATTGTGCTCTTTGCAAATGGTGCAGTGTGGCCATTGCCATTATTTGCAGCCAAAATGTTATTGCTGTTACCTTAGTATTTATAATAAGCCCTACACAGTTAATACAATATAAGGAGTTTCTGCAGCAGACAGGTGACATGCAAGATTTTTGCAATAGTAGTATAAATGTAATCAAGAAAAAATATAATTTCCACTTCCTCTAACTATTATAAAAAAAAACACAACCCTTTAAATTTTATTTTAATTGTATCTAGGCTATTTGTGTATTTCTACCAAAAGGAATGCTTAGCTTTAACTGCCAATTCAATACATTTTACACATTTGGTTGTGAACTGACATTTTTTTAAAGTGACGTTACAATGAATGTCCTTTTTCCTGCATAACAGAAACCAACTACAACAACGCCACTGCTCTTGTGATCACCTTCCCCCTCAACAACTACCTGAATGACACAGTGAGGCTGGGCAAAGCTCGCGCATGGGAGAAAGAGTGAGACAACTACTTATAAAACTCATTAAAAAACGATTTCTTCCCATGTTAATGTTGTTCCTTGCAACGCATTTACTCAATGTAATTATTGTGTGTGCTTTTCAGGTTCATCGATTTCATGAAGAACTTTAAAAATCCCAACCTCACCATAGCCTTCAGTGCTGAGAGGAGTATTGAAGACGAGATAAACAGAGAGAGCAACAGTGACATCAGCACCATAGTAGTCAGCTATGCCATTATGTTCATCTACATCTCCCTGGCCTTGGGGCACATCCACAGCATTAGGAGAGTGATGGTAAGCGCCCAAACTCACACCTATTACAATGAATCATCGCAGTAGTAAAACATGTGTCATGCATTTGTGACGCAAGAACTTTGATGTAACAGAACTAGTCAAACACGCTTGACGACTTCCTGCTACTCTAGCCTAAAAGGGAGCAGCTAGAGAGAAGAACATAACCTAATCCTCCATCTTTTCCCCTGCTCAGGTGGACTCTAAGATTTCTCTGGGTATCTCGGGGATCCTGATTGTGCTCAGCTCTGTGTCCTCCTCACTGGGGCTCTTCAGCTATTTTGGCATCCCCCTCACCCTCATTGTGATCGAGGTCATTCCTTTCCTGGTGCTGGCTGTTGGAGTGGACAACATCTTTATTATAGTGCAGACATATCAGGTAACCACCTCCCACCCAAATCCAGTCAAATGTTACACAATGACCCAGAGAGTGTATTGCTTATGCTCATCTTATGTAAGTCACCCCTTAAAGGTCACCTTTTATGCAAAATCCACTTTTTCATGTCTTTTATACATAACCATGTGTCCCCTCTGTGTAAAGAGAGTCTGAAAGTTTCAGGGGAAAAGATTCTCTCACTTTTTGTCCTGATCCATTTATATAAAAACCTGCCTGAAAATGAGCTGATCAGATTTTGGGCCCTTCATGATGTCATAACGATTTTTGGGCCATTAGCCAATCACCAACCAAGGTAACCTCCCCGCCCCCCTTATCACCTGAATCTGTAAAAGACAGAATCAGCACTTTTGAAACAGGGCTGAAACAGAGGGGATTATGGGATGCTGCAATGATCTGTTTGGTATTTCGAGCCAAACACTTCAGAGACATGTTTGTATATATCTGAGACCTATAATACGTTGATGAAAAACAGTATAATAGGGGACCTTCAAAAAAAAAAGAAAAAAAATGACCCTTTCTTGCAAATAGAACCTGTTGTACCTTCTAAAAGTGATTTGTATTTTTAAACAGAGGGATGAGCGGATGCCTCATGAGGAACTTCACCAGCAGATCGGTCGTATCCTTGGAGACGTAGCCCCCAGCATGCTCCTCTCCTCCTTCTCGGAGACAGTGGCCTTTTTCTTGGGTAAAATATACACTCTATAGTACAGACAATACAAATCAAAAAAGCATTCTCAACGTGAAATTGAAACATTGAAAGAAAATATTTCCTGATTGACGTAGTAAGTGTAATATGTGCCACAATTTCCTGTTGAGTCGCATGCTGATTAAACTGTTGACTTTCTTCTTCTGCAGGCGCCCTGTCCAACATGCCCGCAGTGAGGACTTTCTCCATGTTTGCTGGCTTGGCTGTTTTTATTGATTTCCTGTTGCAGATGAGCTGCTTCGTCAGCTTGCTGGGCCTGGACGCCAGGAGACAGGAGGTGAGTCTGGAGGAAGTGGTTCTAGAGGAGGGGTCACACATGCAGAGTGGGAAGTTTACCAGAGAGGGGTTTCCTGCTGATTAACAGCTCTTGTTTAATATACAAATGTATGACTACGTTTTCATCAGTGGTGGAAATTAATAGTACATTTACTAAAGTATTTTATTACAATTTTGAGGTACTTTATTTGAGTTTTATGCTACTTTAAACTTCCACGTCACTGCATTTTAGTAGCCAATATTGCACTTTTTACTCACCTATAATTATTTGAAAACGTTAGTCGTTATTTACTTTATATATTCAGATTATTAGCTAATACAAAATAAAAATCAAGTAATAAAAAAAAAACTGACATATATTTATAGCTAATGAAATATCATATCATTATAGGTTAAGATAACCAGCAGCAGTATACAAAGTAATTAAGATTAGCTAAATCATAAAAAGCTGTGATGAACACACATCAATAACATAGCAACATGTCATAGATATATTTCTGCACATAGGCCCTTACGCATAACAGGTATTTTAACTTTTGGTACTCATACGTTTATTTTGATGCCAGGTTTTTTATAATGATTAAAATGCAGTTATTTTACAATTAAGTATTGCTACTTTTACTTAACTAAAAGATGTATGTACTTCCATCATACCTCTCTCTGCAGTAGCTAACTTATATGATGACTCTTCTTATCTGTAGCATTGTCATTAATCAGTGAAACATCCAAACTGATTCAACACACTATTGAACCTTTAAATTAGTTAGAGTTAGTGGCACTTATTAAACGCTGTGCTGTCTTTGTGTTAAAAGGCGAATCGACTCGACATCTTTTGCTGTGCGAAGCTGCCGGAGGGACAGCAAGCAAAGACGGATAGCTACCTCTTCAGATTCTTCAAGAAAATCTTTGCCCCATTCATCCTCAAAGAGTGGTTGCGCCCGATCATAGTAAGTACCACAGTGACACTTTGTAGTATTCTAACATGTAACTGTTGTTTATTTGGAGTCATTATCTATTTGATGATTTTAATTTGCTTATAAAATGTGTTTCTTTGTTTTAGGTGGCAGTGTTTGTGGGAATGCTCTCCTTCAGTATTGCTGTGGTGAATAAAGTAGAGCTCGGACTGGACCAGAAGCTCTCCATGCCTGACGTAAGTGTGACGGAAATATGTTCAGTGATTGCTCGGGCACATTGCTTGAATTATTTTTCTTTATAGATGTCGTGGATAAAGTAGAATGGTTTTACTTTGAAGTGTGTAAACTGTTTCCTGTCCTGTCAGTCATCCACAAAGCTAGAGTAGCAACACATCTTTACCACAGCCTTCCCCATACAACATGAATACAAGTCTTGGTTTGCAGACCTGTACTTGTGGAGGTTTATTCTCATTATCTGTCTCTCCATATAGGACTCTTATGTGATGGACTACTTCAAGAACCTCAGCATGTATCTGCACACGGGAGCTCCGGTGTACTTTGTGGTAGAGGACGGTCTCAACTACAGCAGTCGAGAGGGGCAGAACGCCGTGTGTGGGGGGGTCGGCTGCAGAAACGACTCTCTCGTCCAGCAGGTCTACTCCGCCTCGCTCATCAGCAACTAGTAAGTCCGAGCTATTACATCAAAGACACGAGACGCAAAGGATATTTAAGATAAAATTAGGAAATGTTGGAGAACCTGTTTCACAAGATTTAATCACATTAAACATACATTGATTGTAAATGTCACCAGAACCTAAGAACCTGTGAGTTCAGATGAGGTGAAGGTCATGAAAGGACTACAGTCAGCCTGTGATTATAAGCTCTATTCAGTTTCAATGTTTCTTTTGCTTCCAGCACAACCATTGCCTTCACTCCGTCCTCTTGGCTCGATGATTACTTCGACTGGGTGAAGCCGCAGTCCACCTGCTGTCGATTCTACAACTCCAGCGGGGATTTCTGCAATGCCTCTGGTACATTTGTATTCAATGCCATCATGCCTAACAACTGTCTCATGATGTGTCGTTTTGATACAAGTTAAACGTTTTTCATCCATAACATGCAGCAAAATAAATATTTTTTAGGATAATGCATTAAGCAGAAACTAACACATGCTGTATTGTTAAAACTCTACGTGTAACTTTACATGTAATTCAAAGTCAAATATGGATATAGATTAAAATGCAGTAAATACTCTAAGTAACAACAGCTATAGTTTTTCAGCATTCAACCCGACATCTATAATAACCTATAATTCCCATTTACTGCTGATTCTTAGACTCAGTATTCAAAGAGGTTTTTGTTTATTTTTTGTGTCAAACCTTAACATGCAACTGTAGTTTACTACTTTGTTTTCAGTTCATGCCTTTGTCTCAACACACATTTATACATTCTCCATTCTTGTTGGTTAGATGTATAAATATATTCCTGCTTGTTGTGTTCCAGTGGTTAACCCCTCGTGTGTTCACTGCCGGCCCATGACTCCCGACGGAAAGCAGAGGCCAGAAGGAGAGGACTTCATGCAGTTTCTGCCCATGTTTCTGTCAGACAATCCAAACATCAAGTGTGGAAAAGGGTAATTGTATAGCTCTGCTGGATTCATTTCTTGGAATTGTTTTATTGAAAACACATGACATGTCATTGGATACTTTCAAATGAACTTTGGTTTCCACACAGTATAACAGTTTCAGTGTGGTTGCTAATGTTCCCCTCTTCTATCTCTCACAATGTGTTAATGCTCGTCCAGAGGCCATGCAGCCTACGCCTCAGCAGTGGACCTGTACCCCGACCACACCGGGGTGGGGGCCAATTACTTCATGACGTACCACACCATCCTGAAGGAGTCCCCAGACTACATAGAAGCTTTAAAAATGGCTCGAATACTGGCTGCTAACATCAGTCAAGCCATCGACCACAAAGTGTTTGCCTACAGGTAAATCCTGTTGTACTAGATGTAGTGCTCTCACCTTTAATGTTAAATAATAGCATTAATTATATAATAACACTTTTTTTTTCTGACCAATATATTTTTTTTTCAGTTTGAGCCACTGTCCTAGGGTTTTATGTTTAAGTTTTCTGTGATGAAATACTTGTAGCTGCACGTTTGCTTGTTTTGAAGTCAATGTTCAAAGGTAATTGAGTGTGTGGGGGGGGGGGGGGGGGGGGTTGTTAAGTAGGTCATAGATAAGCAAACAGCAAGAAAACATAATAAATGGCCATATAGCTCAATGTTTACCTTGAATTTATCTTCCTTCTGAACTTCGGATATGGAGGTTGAACCGATATTCCGAGAAACTAGTTTATTGTTTTGTTGTCTATCAAATTGTTAGAATTAGTTGGCTTTAAAGTCTCTTTTGCAATGAATGCCAGTAAAATGGATTCAATGAACATAACAATAAGAATAGAAAATGATTCCAATAGCTATTACAGACTTGCCACATGCTGTTTTTTCTGTTTCAAAAGGCAACAGTTGTCAGTGTTCTTTAAGGGTACACTAAGATATGTTTTCCTCCTTTGCAGCATCTTCTACGTGTTTTACGAGCAGTACCTCACCATCGCGTATGACACCGCTCTGAACCTGAGCGTGTCGCTGGCGTCCATCTTTGTGGTGAGCACGGTGTTGCTGGGCTTCGAGCTGTGGTCGGCGGTGATCGTCTGCATCACCATCGCCATGATCCTGGTCAACATGTTCGGGGTCATGTGGCTGTGGGGAATCAGCCTCAACGCAATATCCCTGGTGAACCTGGTCATGGTGAGAAGCAACAGGAAACACCTCACATTTACACTTATACAACACCTGAATAATATCAATAACAACACAATACAACATTTGTTTTAAATGAATCAAGAACTACTACAACTTATACATTAAAACAAAATTACTTTTTGTAGTTTTATCCATTATTTCTGTCAGGTATAACACCATTTTACCTGTCAATTTACGTGTTTGTTCTGGTACACGGCAGCATCACTAACATATTTTAGCATGCTACCAAAACCAATTATTGGAATGTGAAAAAAAAGGTTAATGTTACCGTTATGTTAATTATATTTTGCTAGTAAACTTAAATTAGCTGTATTATTATAGTCTTGTATGCATTTTAGGGCATTAGACAATTTCTTATAATTGAAGTTCATTATGAAATCTGTAAAGGCAAGATTCATCTGTTTTAATAATACAACTCCAAAGTTTATTAAGCAATAGATATTTAAAGATTGTAGCTTTCTTAAAGGTAGGGTATGTAAGTTTGAGAAACCGGCTCGAGATACACTTTTTGTTATATTCCATGGAATGCTCTTAACATCCCGATAGCAATAAATATCTTAAGTGCTTTGACAAAAAATCCATTAAAAAAAGTCATCTGTGGAAGCCGTAGTACTGTAAAAAGCACGACCAATCATTTTAGCCGGCCCGGCTAAAATAACTGGATGGCCTACCTGCCTGTCAGCCTTCCATCGGGGCACAAACTTATCTCGTGCCCTCATTGGTCATGTGCGTTGGAGGAGGGGCTCTATAAGGAAGTGGCAGATTTTTTCCGGCTGTGTATTTTCAAATTCTAGCGATCTCGAGCCGGTTTCTCCAAAATTACCTACCCCACCTTTAACTCCCCATAATTAAAAGGTAACTGCTTTTTCACAATCATGACTGATGTATAAACCACCAATCACCAAGCTTGGCATATTGTTATATCTGTGTATTAGAAGACTAGCTGATCAATGTAAGAGTGACAGCTGGTGCATGGCTGCATTTTGAATGGTGGTCATCACAGACTGCTCCTTTAAACTGCTGACGATCTGTCTGCTCCTCTGACCCCTCGGTTCACCCTGAGGGAACTTGTTCTAGTAATGTCCCCGCGTCCCTAGATATCACCACTTATGTTGGCAAACAAAATGCTGTCATAACATCAGAAGGCTTTTTTTCTCTTACTGTTAACCCATTCATACACATTTAAAGAATATTCCTTTGTTTGCTAAATCTAACAATTGTGTTTTTCATTGATGAATTGTTTCCTGTCCTCTGTTGCAGTGCTGTGGGATCTCGGTGGAGTTCTGCAGTCATATTGTGCGAGCGTTTTCCATCAGTGTGAAGAAGAACAGAGTGGAGCGGGCTGAGGAGGCGCTGGCTCACATGGGCAGCTCGGTAAGTCTCACTTTGACTCTTAAAACCCATGAGAGGAAGCTTTTTCAACATTAATAAGTGGATGTAAAAGGATTTCTGCACGCTAGTAGAGTGGATATCCTCCATGTGTTCTGAGGAAAACCTTATTTATATACAGCATCTGTTGTAACTGAACATTTTTTTTTTTTTTTTTTTTACATAAGTTCAGCTGTAAATAATGTTGGATCTCTGTATTATTACTGATTTCGGTCATCATCACATGGTATGACATTAAATGATATTTTTCCTTTTTGCAGGTCTTCAGTGGGATCACATTAACAAAGTTTGGAGGAATCCTTATCCTGGCTCTTTCCAAGTCGCAGATCTTCCAGGTCTTCTACTTCAGGATGTACTTGGCCATCGTGTTGCTAGGGGCGACGCACGGCCTAATCTTCCTCCCTGTACTGCTCAGTTATATCGGTCAGTAATCCACACATTGACATTTAAAAAAAGGGTATAAAAAACAGACTTAATTAAAAATTAAAATTAAATGTAAAATGTTGTGATTTGTTTCCACAGGTCCTTCAGTGAACAAAGCCAAGGTGTTAGCTGCTAACAGCCGCTACGCTGGAACAGAAAGGGAGCGCCTGCTCAACTACTAACAGTCCGTTTGGGACAATGAACAATGTACTGTTTGACTGTGTGGGTGTGAGCGCGAGGCGTTTCTGAGATAACTGACACACTCATCATCGTTGCCACTACTATGCACGGACTGAACTCAGGAATATTCTTGGGGATAGGAATGCCAGAGGCCTCTTCCAAATGTATTGATTTTCCTCAGAAGACTTTGGACTCTCCTCACACTACAGGACAAGCCCGGCTTCAGCATTTGAAGCGCGAGCAACATACCACTGAGCAAAGAAAACGCCACTTTGACAGCGTGGACATAGGAGACCCCCCCCCCCAACATCAGTTATAGACCAACCCTCAGTCACCCCCATATGCTATGAGCTTCATTTGGAAATAAGCTCTAAAGGGTGAAACTGGACAGTTTTTTTTCATGTTTTTAACCAGTAATTTGTGTTTTTAGGATATCATTTTGAAAAGTTTACTTATGGGGAACTATTTAATACTAGGAACCATACACTGAATCGAACCATGCACACAGTGGAGCCAACAAATAAGAATAGTTATATCACAGGCCCTTATAATACCTGGCTTTTACATCATATACTGTGTCTACATACTGTATTAGCTTGTTTTAACATTTCCTCTAGCAATAATCCGGTTCATTTATACCAAACACTGGATTTAAAAGGAAATCTGAAGTTAAAGAGCTGACTTTTAGCTGAAAGGACTTTTGGAGGTGTTTACATCCCTGTTGGGAGAGCAGTGAAGGAATTGTAGCCCCCTCTTACCTTTTGGGAGGATATAAAACATATAAAAAGGCTAAAGCTCAACATGGATGTGGACGCTAACACCTTCAAAATTAAAACCTCAAAGTAGTTGTTTCATTTTAAGTCAGTGTCAAGATCCTGGTATGCAGAGCCAACACGAATCAGTCCAAGTACGTGTTGCTCTCCAAACGGCATCCTGCCTGTACTTTTATTTCCACATTGGAAGGTATTTACATGATCCGGTGCAACATTTCATTTTAAAGCTAGTTCCTGTTTCTTAAGTGTCCTTTTTAAAGTGTTTGCATGACTAGAAGACCCTTTTAGGTGCTTTTACAGAAACCCCTGTGTGACATCAGTCATAATTCATGTTGATGCTAGCTAACAAGGGCAATTCACGGTTTTAGATTTACATTTAAAATACTCATTTTGAAGTTACTGAACAAACATGTGTTGCATTAAGAGTTAAACTGTAAATATCTTACACAGGACTAATTCAAAGGTATGCATTGTCATCTTGTTAATACAGAATTAAGTAGAACAACTGGATAATGGTACAGTCCTGACTTTTTCATTCCAACATATAAGTTATTGTTTTATTTTGTTAACTTTTAATTTGTTGTTACCATGCAAAGTTGTCTTGTACCCCTTCCACTGACCTTTGACCTCTGTTTTTAAGGAAAAGAAAACTATAACATCCCAGAACCAGAATCTGAGATTTAGCTCGTCGAGATGAACCCTCTTCATGGAGAATAGGGTTGTAAACATTTGGAAGAGGATTATAGAATTTTATATAGAAGGTGTAAAAGATGTGCGGGGATTTAAAAGGAACAGTATCATTCCTTGTTTTAATTTTTTTCCCGCCGTTTGTTTTATATGATGCAGTGTTTTTTGGAATGTAAGAAAGTGGATTAAATTTGTGAGCAACCGACTGAGAATGTTTTAACATGAATAACGAATAATTATGCTTGTTAACAGTGCTGTGCATTGAAAAATCTTTTTTTTTAATACTTTAGTTTTTAACAGTTTTAACACATAATAAATAGTTCTCAGAAAAGCATGTGGTGGAGTCCTTAACTGTTGTACGTTTAATGTTATATGTTATGAGACATGTCATGGAAATAATCATGGTGTAGTATGTCAGGAAAAACGTTTTTAAAAAATCAGTTGGGTAAAATAATTTGATAGAAAAACCATTGTATAGTACGTCTATTTAACTATTTAATTAATTTAGTATATTATGACAACATTATCAGAAAATAAATTCTAATCATAGTATGTCATATTTTAAAGTTGTAGTACATTAAGCCATTGAAATCATATCATAGTGTGCCAGAACAATTTCAAAAATAACACGAGTAAAAATGTAATTCAAGAAAGTGACAGTTCAGTATGTCAGAAACAAACCAAAACTATAGTTTGTCATGAAAATAGTTGGTGTATAGTTTAGTTCATAGTGTATATAGTTACAACATCAGAAAAATAAAGTGTATACTATGCCATAAAAAGTCATAGTATAGTATGATGTAGAAAGAAAGTCTGTAAAATACCATGTCATAAAAAGTAACAAGTAATGTAGTAGTAAATAAAGTTGTATAGCAGGTCACACAAATTCGATAAAGTAATACAATAGTATATTTGAAAGCAATCTGTATATTGCCATTAAAAGGTCATTCTTTAAGAAAAAGAATCATAGTAGCTACATCATGAAAAGTATCCGGAAAAGAAATACTCTTAAACAATATATGTAATACCCAAATTAGAGTTAAGTACTAGTTCATCCTTAAAAGCCACTTAAAGTGGTCCTCCTTAGTCGGTTGTTGTTTGTTCAGCTTCTGCTTAAAGAAAACTACGATCATTTTAAGGTTGACTGCAGATGCTTCTGTATAAAGAAAGCACAAACAGTGGTAGTTGCCCACACTGACCACTGTGTGGCGCCTGAGTCAGTCCATGAGCTGGGACTGCATCATGCTCTCAGTTATGTAGTGGGAGTGACCCAATTTGTATGTCTTAAAGAGCAGCAGTCTGCCTCTGCCATGCTTTTACATCCTCAGTGAATTACATTTCTGCAGGGTGCAAGAAAACAAAAGCCTAGCCTGCAGAGCCATTCAGCTAATGCATCTGAATGGAGCTGCTTCTTGAGCATCCACTGTAAACCTGCAGCTTTTGGATATTAACATAGAACTTTACAGCCCATTTTGAAGTGGCTCCCAATCCCCCGAGCTGTACTTCCTCCCAGCATGTGATTTTGTGTCTGTCTGTCCGCCCTGGTGTCACACAAACCTGCAGCTCATGATTTATTTATCCTCTGCCCTCTGAGAGCGGGGACTGTTCTTTGAATCTGGCTGAGAGATTAAAATATGAATTTCCTCTGCTGTGCTGTCTGCAGGGGGGGGGGGCACTATTATGTAATATATGCAAGGCTCGTCTCTCACCAGAATCTGACCCGTCCCCCTCTTTCACACAGGAACAACGAGCGCACAATAAACCTAAATCGAAATTGCAGTTTTTGCTGACAAATGAAACTGATTCAATTAAACTCGCTTATTTGAGTATAGTGCAAGATTTCCAAATATGTGATAGGAATATTTTGCTAAAATGTTGATACCTTGATGTTGCTCAGTTTACTGTGGCATCCAGCTTTTGCATCACCACATATCTAGTATACATACACTATGTATGAAGTATAATCTCCAGCATAAAAACACTCTGGTTGATTTATTATGAAATAACTCCCACTGAATGAAAGAGAACCTGGACTTTAAATCCCTCAAATAGACCATTTTAGATAAAAATGATTAATAGAAAATAATCTGTCAGTAATCTGATAACTATTAAAGCTCAGGAGTTCTAATTACAGCAATACGTTTCTTCAATTTAAAGTTATTTGTGAGAAAAATGAGTTTTCTTTTTTTAGATCTATTAATAAAAGTAGTTATTCAAGTGTAATCCCTCCCCAACTGACTACTGTTAACTGTTATATAAAGGTGCAGGAGGAATCACAAACTGACACATTATTTAGTCCCATTTTTAGAATGAACTTCTTAAATTATTGACAGTTTTTCACTCTTCTTTTGGAAAAGAGAAGGTCATTTTAAAGTAGAATTCAGCAGCATACTCATTGACCTTTTCTAGGCAGGTGTCCCATTCACATACATACAATCATACACACATGCTCGCTCACACGCACGCAAACGGCAGAGTGTCCAAATCTACTGCTATCAATGTGCAACAGCCCTTCCCTGTGCTCTCCTGAAGTTGTCCTTGAACTCACATTGAGGCCTCTTCACACGTACCTAAATCTATAAAGTTGATCTGTATGTTTTTTGAAGATCCATCAATAAGTTAGTGTATGAAGCGTTTAAGGTCCTGCTCTGCGTCACTGGTTTTCTGTTACAGTGGGTTCAGCTGTCTCTGAAATAGACTCTTGGGGTGGAACAAAAGAGATTAGGTAGCCTTGTTTAACACGAACAGAGGATCAGATTTTCAGGTCCACCTGCAGTGCTTTCCCCTCCTGACCATGGACCAGTGGAAACATAACAGTAGGAAGCAAACGAAAAAAAGATTGTGGATGATCCCACAAAGACTGGCCTGTTTAAAGCCTGTACTTTATGTCAAGAAAATGAAGATACCGTATGTACAACCTGACTGAATATTAATGATATCAAACACAGTGTCATCCCACCATTTGAGTATTTACTATTCCTCTGTGTTCACTACTTTCTTGTTTACAAACTACTGTACATGCTGGAAAAGCCCTGAGTCACAGTGTCATGACAGGAAGGGGGCAAAATGCAGTTTCAGCCAAATGTTGTTATTTTAAAGGGAAGAGCAATAGATGGCAGCTTGCCCCAAACGATGGTACATATATTTTCACAATGAGGGTCACTCACTTGTGTGTGAACAGGGCTCAGGAAGGGCTGTCAATAGACCCCTTTATGAGGCAGTGCGGGGGGGACTTAGGTCATCAATGGTGAGGATTAAGCCACGTATGCCGTGTGTCCAAACTCAGCTCTGGCCTGTTTGTTTTGATGGCAGCGAGAGACTGGCGTGACTGCGGCCTTGTTTACGTTGGATGAGAGTGAAGCAGGAGAGTTCCCACTGGATGATAAACTGACCTCTCGGATTGCATCAGAGCCAGAGGTGCATCCAGTCAAAACTTCCTGAGTCACACCTCATTCACTGTTTTCAAATAAAGAGTCATGACAGTTTGAAAATCGGAGTTATGCATATGACACCTGTTTGTCTTAGCATGGCTAAAAGAAACAGGGCTTATTGTGCAAAATAAGTCACTTTAAGAACTGCTTCTTCATATATATTTCTTGATGTATGTTGTTTTATAATAGTGACATTAAACAAATGATGAAAATGCTACTTACATGCCTACAGCAATGAGTAAACGTTAATTATTAGCTTTGTTATAATTGCAGGGCATCCAAAAAGTGTTTTGAAAATGTGCACGCACTTTAGACGTAAAAAAAAAAGAAGGCATGAGCTCATATTTAAAGAATGCCATAAGTGCAGACCATGTCAAATTGTGATAAATGTAACATGTATGCAATTTGACTTCGACATGCTCTGTAAAATGGGCTCAAGTTCACAGAGCAGCAGTTAGAGAAAACTTCAGGGACGCACTCGAGAGTCTCAGTCTGGCAGATTTATTGTAACGATGGTTCAGCCGCAAGGGAAGCTGCAAAACGCTTAAAAACTAGCCTGAACAGGCGAGTCTGGGGGGGAAATGTTCCCACAGTAACTAAGGATATACTTGTGTAACCAACCTTTGTGAAAATAAGCCCAATTATCTTAGGTAAGTCTGTCTTTACCGTAAATCTTATCAGCCCACACGTTCATTGCACAATTGATTTTGGAAAGATATTAGGAGGTCCTCCAACATTTTTTTCTCAATCAGGCCCTGTCTATGGGTGTTGGTTTCACAACAATAACTTCTCTGCCAAAGTTGGAAAAGTGTTACTTCATGAGAGATTTCTATATCTAGTATTTTGGCTGAGGATCTTTTCAAAGAAGTGAAGTGGGCGGGCCTTGACTGTAAAGTATTACATCACATATTGTTTGCACCAATCAGAGTTTAGAAACATTGCATTCAAAATCGGATGACAGTTGCAAGACTTATGTCACAACGACCTCGAAGAAACAAAACCACGCCAACGGCCGAAGGAGTTTGACTGAGTTTGTGATTAATAAAGATCTGTTTATCTTTTGTAAATTGTACAGGTGAACTACAGGACCTCTGACATGTTGGGTGTGGTCACAGGTACAACAAACCACATTTTTAATAACACCTTGTACAGAGGTGAAACCGGCTCTAATCCTTCCACAAGATAGGGCAGCAAAACATGCTTTTTACCCGTTAAGTGCTTCACTTGACATTAAAGAGATTCAAAGTAGGGTTTCCACAGGCGTTAACGGTGAATTTAAGGGGCTGTATGAAGAGTTAAAGGGGACCTATCATGCAAAATGCACTTTTGTACGTCTTTTATACATGAATATGTGTCCCCGGTGTGTCAGGGAACTCACCAAGTGTCAGAAAACACAACCCTCTCTCTTTTCCTCCATACCCAAATCTCTAAAAACGGGGCTGCAACGGAGCTGATACAGACTGATCCAGATTTGAACATTTCTCTGACGTCAGGACGGAGGAGCTCCGCCTATATGGCCAACTCTCCACCTATCAGGGGAATGAGAGGTTGCCGTGGCATGGTAACAGCATGGCAACATGACGCTCGTGCCTCGCCCCCCTCCTTTGCAGGGGGCCGTGGTCAGCTGCAGCTCATTTGCCACAGAATGAGCCCATGCAAAGACAGGGCTGGAGGAGAGCAAAATAGAGCGAAATGAGGCATGGCTAAAATGCATGATCTGTTTGGTATTTTGAAAAAAAAACTTCACAGACATGTTTTATATAGGTATTGCCCTACAATATATTATTCAAATATAGCATGATAGGTCCACTTTAAAGGAACTAAACCTGGGGAGGGGGCAATGACGCAAAAAGTGCAATTTCTGTTCAAGTAAAAACATGCCAGAGTCTTTTTTTGATTGAACAAGCAAAGCAATTTATTTACAAACATACACAGGAAATAAGAGTTGCCCACCAGTCTTTCCTCACAGAGTCTTCAGTGTGCATCTCATAGCGAACTCTTTGGGCTTGCAAACAGAAATAAGCTCAGCATTTGTTCACCTTTAATCACCATGCTTTTCTCATTACAATTTGTTTTGATATTGTGATCATTTTAACTCATATCGTCAATACTTGGAGCAGCATGAAATACCTTTTTCCTCAACACTCTGTGGTATTTTGTTAAACTATTTTAAGGTAATATAAAGAAGCTGAAATCAACTTGAGATACATGCCGAATGAATGTAACTATACTATAATTAGTTAGATTATTTGTTGTTTCTAAAAACATTATTTCCAAATCAACAAACTCTGATTCGAGTGATATGAAAATGTTGCATCCCTCATTGATTCCAGTCAGGATCTTGTTAAGATTTTCCTCCGCCTCAGAGATCAGGAATCAGGACAAATAAAGTGTCCTTGAAGCCTGAAGTACACTTCAGCAGGACGGAGGATTACTTGCACAGGGTTTCAGTCCAGGTAAAGTAATTTACTCTCAATACCAGAGCACCATGTGGCCAATCTGCTGCTAATCCTGATCACTGTTTAATGGCATTTTTGCACTCATGAACACCTCTTCAAACCTGCCTTCCTGACCCCGTTATAGCACTGTAAATGTGCTAGCAATATACTCTAACATAGAGCACAGGAAACTCAACACTGATAAAAGTGGGTCTTGTCTCATTAAGTCCATAGCAAGCATTTGATATAAAATGAATGGAATGGTAGAAAATGAAAGGAATGGTAGAAAATCAATGGAATACTTCAGTGAAAATAGGAAGTCCCATCTTGTCTGCAAGGACCTGTATGCAAACAATCAATACTTTTCGTGCAGATAGAAAATGAGATAAATAATCCAAAACGTTATTTCAAATGACTTGTGAGTGGTGTTTATGAACACAGCTTATTTTCCAGGGTTAGTTCAAGCTCATTAAAACTGTCTCTCTTCCCTCTATGTCTCGCAATATTAAAAAAGTGCACTTTAAGATGATTACTTGCGAAAAACACGAGTCACTCGGAGGAAGTCCAGCCAAAACCAGCCGCTTGAAAAGGCTTTTGTTTAGATTTTATGCAAGTCAAGAGGCAACCAATCATACATGGAGAAGATTAATGAAAAGAGATGATAAAATGTTACAATCATTGGTTGCTTTAACTGTCAAAAATGTCCCCATCAGATTCAAACAAAAAAGGCTCTCTTAATCAACAAGAGAGCTTTGAAATATACAATGTGAATATGAAGACGTTAAAACATGCAAACAACCTGTTTGCAGACGGTTGAACAATTTCTGTCAGAAGTCTGTGTTGTGAAGATGAATAAAGTCAAACAAGGGAGGAACGTTTTAGAAAATGTGTCCCTTTGGCTGATTTCAGATCTCCTGAGAGGGAGGAGAGTTGTCGGCTGCAGGTGAGTGACAGCCGGCTGAACCTCGGAGCCGTCAGACGTGGCAAAGAGAGAGGGGGGATGGAGGATGGGGGATGGAGGATGGATACCGTGGGAAGCAGAGGATCAGAAGGAGCTGGGCGTCCTCCTGATGGTTCACTAATGCTAGGAGGTCTGCAGCAGGCGTCTGTAGTGAGGCATGATCTCGTTTTCTGGCAGCTGCAGGTTGAACTCCAACGCCACCAGCACCGGGAACTCGAAGGCTATCAGCTCTCTGCGGTTCACTCTGAACCTCTCTTCCAGTTTCTGCCAGAGAAAAAGAGAGTTAAATAATAGATATACAATGCTGCATTCCTAATAGCGTCTTTACTACACCCACAGCATTTCATGAGGCCTGGCATGGTAGATGTTGCCTGTTTGGATGGTTGTCAGACTACAGTTGAAATTAATAGACAATACACAGCTGGTTGTGTTGGCCATTCTAAAGCACTGACTTAAAGGGGGACACATCTGCCACTATAAAAGCTTTCTTCGAAATAAGGGATTTTACAGATGAAACACTGTTTACAATTCATAAGAAGTACTACTCAGCCTGTGATGTCTTTTGATGTTATGAAAGGAGCTTTCTAGAGTCAAAATAACTCAGTGTTTCACGGTTAGCTCAGGTGCTCCCTGAGACTTGAGAAAAACTGTGATTTAAACTAGAGGTAGCCTAAAAGGGAATTTCATTTTTTACTTTTTTAAGCTTAGAGACACTTTTGTTTTTTCTTAGATGCAGGCCTGCTGAGGATTCTGGTTCACTGATTGGTTCGGCTACATTTCTGATTAGATTGTCCGTTAAAGATAGGGATCTTTTTAGAGAGGATGACGGTAGAGCAATAAGAGAACAAAGGTTTCAGATCCAGCGAGTCTCGAGACAAAAAAGGCAGCCCTCCAATTATGGGATTTCAAAGACAGCCTATTAGCAACATCAGAACAAGCGTTTACGTAAAAACAGGACCAAACTCTGAAGGTCAGCTTTGATGGTATTAAAAGGTTATGTCAACACTTAATCCTCTTATTTCTGACTGAGACTGCAATACTTATTTTCGCCTGACTGTCAATTTTTTCTCATCATTGTTTTAATGCATTATGGCTTAACTTTGTCCCATTCTACTTGTCCTATCAACAAAAACAAAAACTTGTGACCTCTATAACAGTTTTTTGTGATCTGGAAGCAATTTCTTCAGTCTTATATTTGAGTGTTGAAACCTGACAATTAAAAAGTCAGTCTCCGGTAATCTTCACATATCCCTTGTGGTATCTACTGTAGTCCATGTTTTGATTAATCAGCTGTTGAAACGTCTGCCACCAGTGGAAAAATCAATCGAAAAATCAATTTCCACTGCAGACAATTTTCACCCTTTTTGACCTGTGATTTTGGAAATGAGAATGTGAGTGATGTGAATATTAAACCTGGTGCAACATGAGGACAAATAAACATGAAGAAATGATGAGTGTTAGCAAAGGAACTTACGTCTATCAGGTGCTTGACCTCGTGTTTCTTGAGATCGCCGCCAATCTTGGCCGCCAGTAGGACACAAGCTCCAGCGCACAGTTTACGATTCTGCTTGTTCAGTTTGCCGTGAAGCACCAGTTTCTCAAAGTAGACGAAAGCCATGGCCACCGTTGGTTCCTCATAACCACATTCATCCTGGGCCAATTTTTTGATCTCTCTTTTCAAGCTGCAGGGAGGAGATAAAAGATGGAGATGGAGAAAAAAAGAGAAGCCAATCAATAAATTGATACAGAAAGCGTTAATTAGAAGTTGACTTTTGATTGTGTTCTGGTTTTATGTTTCAGTATTTGTAAGCAACTGTGACTGAAAGAATATTGCTTTTATTTAACTTTTTTATGGTTATTTCATTTTTAAAGAAGGGGCAGGTAAATAAGATGTTTTTCTCCCTGCTCCTTTCCACCATGCACTATAAATAATTAAAAAAAAACAGTACAAGTGTACATGTTTTGTTTTAAAATAACTGCCATGTGTGGAATAAACAAATAAAAATAATAATAAATATAAAAGGAAAGGAAAAATAACAGGGCATTGTAGAGTTAAACACTTAATATGACACATTTTATGCATTTCTGTAGGTTTTTACCTCCTAATCTTGCTGAGGGTAAGCCTTATGTGGGGGAACTTCTCCTTGAAGGTTTCGTTCATGTCTTTCTTGAGGTCAGAGGGTTTGACGTATTCAATGACCGTAGTCTGAAAAGAAAAACCAGAGGTGGTGTCACGATGACCACGCGTTCAGCACTGGGCAGAGTGACTGGATCCTCACACACTAGTGTTGGATTCCACGGTCTCACAATAAGAGCTGGTGTTACCCGTGTCACTTTAAAGATACGTCTGCTGATACTCTATATCTTTCTTCACAAATCCAGTGAAAAGACCAGAGCCAACAACGAACCGATCCCACTAACACACATCCCACTGTGTGAATCCAAAGCCTGACATATCACGTCTTCTTCTGTGACATAGAGCACCATTGTCGTCCAAACACACCAATAAACCACACTGTTGCCGTGGGTGACATAATCCTTCACTACAATGAACATGGGCACTGTGGTGGATTTACCGTAAATACTACATGCGCTATCATGCTGCTGTAAACACTCATTAGCACACCAAATATGTATCAATCCGCCGTTGAAAACAGTCCTCAGCTAAATAATAATTTACTTCAGTGTCTCGGTGTTTAAGCAAATAACAGAGCTTTATGTGCGTCGAACTGAATGACGCACACAGCGAAGCGTTGAAAAACATTGAGATTGGCTGAAATATATTGTTGGTTTGGATCTTTTCAAAGGATTTGCAGAGGATAAGAATAACACAGATTATCGCCGGCCTCTTCCTGTGGGCACAAGACATGCTTGATTGCTGACCAAAGCTTTCCATGCCTTCATCAGGTTTCTAATAAACAAGCTTTGGTGCATGTTATAACATGAGTAGAAGGAGGGTGAGTCACATTTAAAGGAGTAGTTTGGGTATTTTAAGTGGATCTTAAGTGGTACAGTACTACAGTATATTCCCTACAGTAGATAGCGGGTGGTAGGACCACAGTGAGCGTATCAGAAAACTTATTTTGGCCAAAAAAGACAACCTAAACAAATCAATCACTTGAAGTGTACGCTTTATTTAGAATTGTTTCACCACTTTACCTTTGAGACAACTCTTTTAGACACTGAATTATATATGCACTCTTTTTATAGCCACCAGACTACATTGAAATGGTAATTTTACATCGAAAGAACACTGGATTCGCTGGTAGAGATAGTTTGTAACATCCAAATGATCCCCTTAAGACAGTAAAATGAGGGGCTGAGTGTTTATCTGCAACTTACATTAAAGATGTTCTAGAGGAAAAAATAGCAAGAAGCCTAACTGCTAGATGTGCAGGATAATGCTGATTGATTATGACATGGGTCTTATTTCTGTCAACTAGGCCATCAATCCTCTTAGTAATAACAACAATCACCAATTTCATTCCTAAGATCTAGGAACATTATCTAAACCACTTCCTTTGGCTTGTTTTATTTATTTATTTACTTACCCTCACACATACATGCATACTGAAAGCCATTTTTTCACATGCTATCACAAGTATTACTGCAATAACATTTAACTGTATTGCATTTATGTTTTGTAGATTTATATCATCTTTAAAACTCAAGTTTAAAAACTAAATATTGGATTGTTTACATCTATTTGATCGTTGTTCGGTATGTGTTTCTTTAATAGCCAAACTTTGCTGTAGCAATGTCACTGAGTTTCCAGACTGAATACATTACCTTGTTGTAAAGCTAGCTTAAAACATGTAAGACATTGCTTGCTTTCCTTGTCACATATACAAAGGTGCTAATAACATAAAAATGACACTCAATATGTAGGCACCATATGAAGTGTGAAGAACCCACCCTGAACACCACGCTACTGATCATGAACCGTGATGGAGAACAAATGCCGATCGATGTTTGAAGCCGCGAGAAATGAAGCAAAGCTAAACACTGACTTTGCGTGACAGAAATAGTCCACCATGACCATGTTTTACACTTATGTCAACACATAAAGACATGTAATTATTCCATGTTTTACCCTGAGGATACTTTTACACTACACATATTACAAAGCGACAACAATGTTTTTAAACACATTTCAAATGACTTAAGTGAGGCTTTCCTTGCTTTCTAATAATATTCCAGGTGATACACATTTCCTGAATTGAACACAGAGCCTAGAAACTATTGTTATGCATAGTTTGAAAGTGCAGTTAGAGAGTCATGCTCTTTAAGTAGCCTGTGCTCAACCAGCAGAATACTGATGTAATGGTTCGGTTCCTTTAGTAAACACAAAAGCCATTGTTTGAGACGCTTGGTTTTGTAATTGGAGGAAAAGGAGAAGAAAAAAACACATAGCCTGGCCTTGACTTAACATTTCAACTGTGTCAGTCCCTGTTGTGTACTCTGCCAGTCTGCATAACAAAAACAGAGCCGAGGAAAGAATGAGGTGGGAGTCTAGTCAGGTTTTTTTCCCTGTTCCCCCATCCACAATAAAACATCCGTTCTTTTCCGGAAAAGAGCGAGAGTGATTAGGGCTCAGATACAATCGCTACACTCACTGTTGCTCCGGTGGCTGCTTAATATCTGCTGCTCACTATAGTAGAGGATAAATCATTTCCATTCATTCAGGGCCCAGAAGGTGGGAGAGAGTTTGGCCCAGTGACCTTGCTGATTAAAACTGAAACGTTCTCCTGGCTTCTTCTCAAAAACAGCTGATATAATTGAGTTTTTTTGTTGAGGCAGACACATCTTTCCGGTGTGTTATCTTTCCTGCTAGTGGTGGGAAAACTGAGCACAAACTGTCCTTAATGACACAAATAACCATTGAAAAAAAACATTAACTGTGGGATGTCCCGGTACATTTCAACAAAAACAGAGGTGGGTCTCTTCCAGGGAATTATGTCCTGAACAAAAATAACCTTTCCATTCCGGTCTCAAGAGGAAACGTTGCTGTAGTATGTGTTGTTCCTGGTGCTGGTGATGTGTTTATAGACACAGTGAAGAGTGTTTTCTCACCATGTATGAGGGGAAGATGAGGACCCTCTTGTGTTTTCCACAAGGCCACTGCGGGTCATCTAGCAGGTTGGGATCGTACTCACGAAATTCCCCCAAATCATTCCCTGATACAGGCACAAACACAACAACAAAGGTAGAGGCAGATGTCAGTAAAATAAACACTGGAGAAAAAAACAACAGAGTGTGAGTCATACGCCACATTCATAATGGATGAGTCGACTACTTGTTGGACTGACCTGTGTCTACGCTGCTCTGGTTGCTGTTGGCTCGGCCCAAACTGAGGCTTCTATGGCTGGCGTTACGAGACGCAGAGAAGGACGAGGTGGAGTCGATGGTGTTTCTACGACCACCCAGCGCATTAGTGGGATACAGGAACTGGGTGTAGGACACAGTCTGCAGACACAGGGGAAGTTATTATTTCCAAAGGCCTAAACATTATATGCCCTTATTTTTTCACAGCAGCATTTTGTCAAAGCAGGAGAAGCACAGACAAATAATATTAAAGGTTGGCTGGACTGGAACACACTAAGGGATTCAGGCTAAGAAATGTCCAAATGCTGCTTAAAAAAAAGCCTAGTTAAAAAATGCTAAGAACTGTGTTGAGGTCCTTTTAATATGAATCACAAATACATATTCTTGGTTTGAAAGGCAATACTTGAAACAAACAGCTGTGTATTAAAAATGCAAATAATGTGGCTGAATACATTGCCTAGTATCATTCTAGGCTATATTTATAATTATTACAATTGGCCCTTTTTGATGTTTTTATTCCTTAGGTGGATGTGCACAATATTCTCCTTTTAATAACATTTAGTGATTAATGATCATGTTTTTTCCATAAAGGAGCTAAAAAGCTATTTAGCTTTTCCATCACCTCTCAGTGTGACATTCAAAACTGAATGCGAGTACATCAAAACTGATGCTACTAATTATACTCTGAATTACATGCAATTGTACTTACAGTAGAACATTAAACACCTTAACAATATGTTTTTTTACTGTGTGAATCAGATTTTCCTAAATGGTTACAGTAAGTTTAGCACATTTCAGCTCACCTTTCCATCCGCTCCTAGCTCCACTCCCTCCAGTCCTATCACCATCTCCTTGGCGCTTCCTGACGGATGCCGCTGACGCCCTCCTCCTTCCAGCTTCACATCCCTAATGAGCACAAGACCTTTAGATCTTTCACTGAACAAATAAACCTCAAAGCTTCGTTTAACTCTCTTTCTCCACTTTCCTTAACCTTCTTACTGATGCCTGTTCTAGCCTACCTCCACATCTGTACCTCACAGATAGATCTGCGCTCATCAGCTGGACTAGGTTTTATAATTATGGCGTTTGGTGTATTTGTTTCTAGCAGGCCGATGTCTTCAGAGTCAGCTGCTGCCTCATTAATGCTTAATATGCAGTACTGCTGTAAGAAATCTGCAGGAGGTCAAAGGCTCTGCTGGAGTAGAAAGCTGCTGGAGAATAAAGTGTGTCAGTGGAGCAAACAGTGGAGAGCCCACAACTGCACACATTTTATATGAGCTGAATATTTATTTGCATTTAATGTCTGCTGCTGAGAACATATAGACTGGGGTGAACTTGCAAAACTAAAACCATGGGGAAATAATAGTAAAATATACTAATTCAAATAGACATTGGTTATCGACATGATTTAACATGCTATGATATAACTTCACTTGATGATCACTTAAATTGTTTTCAAACGATATGGGCTTAAAAAGTCTCTTGGACTTGCTTTCACGTCAAAGCGAAAAGACAAGTGCGGACAAATATTACCTTGCATTTCTGTAATATTAACTTTTTATAACCTAATATTCTTACATGACATTTCAGAATGTGAGCAGACAGCAGATATTAAATCGTAACAGTCTTGTTTTTCTACTCCTCCCTTATCTTCCCTAGCTCAGTCATGCTTTCGGTTAAAATTGTGTGCCCAGATAAATAGAAGGAATAACAGAGAGGGACTTCACATGACTCCCCCAGTGTTTTGATGACATGCGGGGCAAATCTGTTATAAATGAAAACAGTGTTATTTGGCAGACATGCACGTCAGGACACAATGTTGACAGATGCATCATAGACACAAAGATCCCCAGGCAGCAGACGTCCGACAGAAGAGTGGAGATTAAATAAAAAGGGGGAAACATACAAACAGAAAGCTTTCTAGGAGAAGAGCTTTTCTAAGAGGCGATCCAGAAAATAATTTGTTGTGCTTTAGTCTGCTGAAAGTAAGAAGAAATGAAAGGGAATTACAAGAAAAGCCGACATTCATGGATAGGAATCACTGGCAAATACCTGAATGTTAGTAGTGTTATAATATATGCAAATTGTTCATAATGCCCTACAAAATTATTCTAAATCTAGGATAAAGCAAATTAAGCATTAATATTAACAATACTGAAAGTATCTTGACCCTTGCTGGCCACTTTACTACTGAATGCTTTACAACTCAAATAAACAGTTTAATATTGGCTTGTAATAATATTCCACGGCAGTCTTGCCCAAGTTTCACACATAACACTACTTTTATGAGCATCAGTAGGTTATACTTTATTAATCCCTGTGAGGAATTTAGTCCTCTGCCTTTGACCCATCTAACTTTTTACACAGTAAGCCAACTTTTCTACAATTCAATGCCAGGAGCATTACATGCATGTATTTTAGGGTCAGATAAACTGAAAAATATGAGGAAGCCCATGCCAGCACAGGGAGATGCAGAGTCAGAAAAGCCACGGTGGACTCTAGCGGGGTTTGAACCCAGAACCTTATGGGTGTCAGGAGACAGTAACGCCCCATAAACAGACGACCAATCAAACAGTCTTAGTCCGCAAAGTTTCCTGTTTTTCTTTCTTTAATGGAATAGTTCGAGATTTTGGAAAAGCATACCTATTTGCTTTCTTACTGACAGTTGGATTAAAAGATTAATACTCACAAATCTCATAGCCATAGCCTAAGCATGTTAAATGCTAATATCTGTTAGCATATTTCAGCATTAAGACTTAAAACAGGGGGAAAACAGCTAGCCTGGCTTTTTTTGTTAAGAGCAGTAACTTAACTTAATCATTGTGAAAGAAGTCACTTCGACCGTCCATAATAATCCCCCATTTACTTCCTCAAATAAAACCAAAGCTAAGCTAGTTATTGCCCCCTGCTTCCAGTATGCATGTTAAACTCAGCAAGCCATATCCTGGCTGGCAGTAGTCTCATATTTAACAGACAGATACAAGAATGTTAATCTTTTCCTCTAACCTTTGGCAAGAAAGCAAATGAGGGTTTCCCGAAATGTCATTCCTCTGTATTCAATTATTTAATGTTTGAACTGTAGGATAATTGTCTCCATGTTACGTCCCCAAAAGTAGGGCTGAACTGCAAAATTGGCAATTTTGTACATGAGGCAGAAGTTAAAGACAGAGAGACAGAAGGAAACAACTACATGCGATCAGCAATTTTGGGCCCAGTCGTCTCATAAAATGTTGTTTTGCAGTTACAACATTTTAACTGAGGCAGCAAAAGCCTAACTGTTAACTGTCAATTAACAGCCAGATGTGTATATTGGATAGCCCTGGAGGTTAATTAACCCCCGACCTGGCACGGATTAGCTGGCTTTAGATGGATAGAGCTTTCTGTGCTCTTCACTTAGCACCGGTGTGGAGCTTTTCTTTCTGTGCATTGTTTTCACTGGTGTTTATATCTCCGATGTCACTTTCACTTCCTCCCAAACACACCGTTTCATGTGAACTGGAGGTCTAGGAGCCAAGGTCATACCAGAGCTATCCCCATGCAAGCCAGCCATAACACACCTACAGTTAAGCGTATACGTTTTCTGGGTCAGCACTAATAAATGTAAACTCTTAAACAAGGCAAAATGTGTTAATTAAAAATCAAGCAGCGCTGGCAGCAGCAACTGCATCTGCCAGCAAAACGGTAATAAGACCAACGAACACATGAAAAACGTTTAAGAGCTATAGTTTCTAAATATAAGAAGAACAGTAACCTGCAAAAGGTGAGTCTAAAGAGCAAAGCCAGCAGCAGTTTTAACAGACAAAAATGGGTTGATTGAACAAAAAGGGAAGAATGGCTTAACACCACCAGAGCCATTATGGGAAAAAGCAATACAAGCATTAAGCACAGGGCAACAACATAGTCTAGATATATAGGAAATTACGCCTTTGAAACCCATTTCAGCCCACTGTTTATTTATTTATCAGACGTTAATGGCAAAATGCATCCACCAAAACTAACCCTTAGGAGAGTACATCCACAGAAAAAGCGATGGGAGAAAAAAAAAGGGAAAGAGGCGGCACAGGCCGGAGGAGGTTACAAAGTTCGGCATGCTGTAGGATACATACCCTGCTTGGCTACAATCTCGATATGGCAGGACAGAAAAAACACTATAGAAGGATCTTCTGCCACTGATTAGGACTATCCTATAAAAACAAAAATGTTAAAAAAAAGCTGATCAATATCTATCTGACAAGATCCACAGATTAAAGTTGGAGCGAGTGTGCAGTAAAAATTTGAATGAAGAGAATGAGCTGCAAACTTCAGAGTGAGTGTGTGTTGGTTTGTAGAAATGTGGGACATGTAGCATGTAGTCAGTGGTTGAGGCAATCATGATGCATTTTTGTGTAAGATACCTTTAGTTAGCATATGCTATTATTATATTAAACTGTGTTCTACTAGTGGAAACATTTATAAAGTATCGAGTCAGAGAATTTCAAGTAAGATATGTAAATTATTTGTTTTAATATCTGCAACTCACAGACACTATATGAATCTTACAACTGGATATAAATAACATGCGTGTTATACCATATCTCAGTTAATAAACAAATATGTTCTTCTTAAAAGTTTGGAAAATACTGCACAAAATTACTCTACATCCGATCATTTAAACGGGAGGAACTTAGAAATATACACTGTTTTCTAAACAAGAGATACTGTTGTTAAAACTATCTACACTACAAAAAAACAACAACGCACTAGAACTACACTCACAAAACACCCTGAAAAAAAGCTAACCGAATTAGATTTCAAATCCAAAGAATGTGACAATGATGACATTGACCACAGCAGTAAAAACTTTCCGTGTCTCCTGACCTCGATTAAACAACCATTTTTCCTTGGGTTACTATAAGCAAACCCAGTAACATACCTATGCCATTTCATTTAGATTCAGACTGAGATATATGTGCTGCAAGCTAATGTAACCTGCTGTGACACAATGATATGCGATTTATCTTGTGATTTCACAATTTTAACAGTGAATAAATGAAGTTTCAAATCTGAATATACTGTGTGAATGGACAGGTTCCTCAATCGACTGCCTTTTATTTATGAGTAAGAATGACATGAAGTGAATGGAGCTGGCCTGCTTGCCTACGATGTGGCTGTAATGTGAGAAACATCCAAACTGCAGTTCATTGACTGGGGCAGCCTGCCATTATCCACTGAGGACTTGTATTGACTAAACGGATAGCATTGTTTGCCTTCATACCTTCCATTGCGCATATCATGTTGCCTCATGTTCTTTATGAAGTGGATCTTCTTAAAGCTCTTTGGTCGGGGTGAACCCGATAGGGTCCGGCATCTAAAATGTTAAACAAACACAAAACATCAGGACCTCAAAACACAGAGACACTGTGCCAGTGACTGGGATATATTACAGTGAGGGCAGCAGTGGAAAAGGTAATGGTATTTCTGTGCAGTTTATTACCTGCGAAGAGGAGCGTTCTCCTCAATGTCCTCTAGCGTTTCAAGCGAAGAGCGTTGAGAGATGAGTCTTCGTCTGGAAACAGATAGACAAAGGGAAGGTTTAAAGTCAGGGGCTATGAAGAAACATCACACCAACAAACACAGGACCAATTGTTCTAATGCAAAAAAACAGCTTTTAGAAAAAAATACATTTGGCAAAGATAATGTTGATAAAACCTTATTGTGATCTTGTTTGACAGGCAAATGGACACTTGGCCCATTGGAAAGCAATTTCATTAGAAGGCACAACACTTAATCAAATTATTTTCCACAGCAAAGTAATAACAAAAAATGCAAGAATAGACCTCGAAAATCAAATCAATTTTTCTTACACAATAAAGTCAGCCTAGATTTTAGAATAAAACAGGGTATTAGCAGACACAAACACTCTAGGGAGCTTAAACCCAAATCTCCTTTTTACCTTTTTGTGTAAAGCAATGGAAAGTGGAAAAAGCCATCGTCCAACACATTGCACTTGTTACACAACTAGTGAAAATTTGATATGACGCACTTTTTGAGTTAAAAGGTTACAGCCAAATTTCGGTTAGCATTCAATCATTGTTGAGGTTCTTCACAAGGACATGGAAAACTAAATATGTGTGGTCACTGAGGGCCTTTGAGCAAAAGGTCAAACAAAGTAGTTAAATTATGATCTGCCTCCGTCTGTTCTGTTATTATTTTACAAAAGCCAGTCTTGGACGGTTTAGTTGGGACCATCCATCGACAGCACTGTGTGCCTGTGTGGTCAATCATCACTCCTCAATCTTACGTTCATCACAGAGGTTTTTCCAGTGTCAGAGCTGCTAAGAGGATAAGGCTCGGCCAGCACTTTGTGTAACACATTTTGTCACACATGGCCTTTATTTCACACTAGTTTCATGACTCAACAACTCAACACTTTTATATGATCTGCTGCCACTTTAGAAAACAAACCCACATGTGACAGCTAAGTATGCCTGAGCTGTCCCAAAATTAGGTTGTAATTGTATATTTAGCCCCAGAATAACAACATAATCCAACCCATTAATCAGCTTACAAAGTGGCCACATTTAAAGGCAATGGAAATGAACAAATTAATGGTCAAATAACTAAATCGTGACATATTTTCCCAACGGGAGATCTGTCAATAATAAATACATTTTCAACAGGGTTGGAAAAGCCAAGTAAGAGTCTAAGCATATGTCCGTTCACAACATGCATACTGTAGATCATCTTGGTGTACGCAATCCTTTTCATAATTGACAAGTGTTGTAATGCTATGGCCATGAACGATAACAGAAGCTGATGACACTTGCCTTCCTCTTTAAAGAGCATTTCAGCCAAAGGAGGAGAAAGACAGCGGAGTGTTAAGCAGAGTGGCTGGTTAATAAACAACAGATCATGAGGACAGATTAACAAAAGATGACTCCAGCCTTGAGGATCTCCCAGGGTTTAAACCAACACAAGCTAAGTGAACAGTGTATGCTGGAGGAGAGGGGCTGAGATAAGTGTTTACATGACGAAACGCACCGAGCAGACGAGTAACCGGGAGCCATTATACTGGCTAACCTTCTGCACTGTATATTATGACCCCTATAATCATATCCTGGAAGGGGGAACATTAAGCTCTGATAAAAGGCATGAACAGAACATGTTATAGTCCACTTGAATATAATGAAGGGGTTGTGACTTTTACCTGAAAGTCAGATAAGTGCTTTCATGTGATTTATGGTCTTAGATCATCCTTCTGATGGAGCAGATAGCTTGGCTGGATAAAGATCTGACGACACAGATAGTTTAATGGCGCATTTCCACTACACGGTCGGCCTCGGCCACACTCGGTACGGCTCGGTACGGCTTGGCCGCGTTGGGCCTTAACAGGGCCGACTCACTTCATGCTGCGCTTCCATTACAGTTTAGGAACTGGGGTAGTTACTATAGTAACGCAGTGTAGGCGGAGCCGTGACGTCATCTTCAATGAGAAATCCAGAAACACAACACAGCCGTTAGCTGTGAGCACTCAGAGCTCACAGCTCCTTATATATGTTCAGAAACTCGACAAAAGTTAAACAAGTACACACCACAGACTGCCTGTGTCATGGTGAATACAGTCGCTGCCTTATTTATGTCTGTATAGGCCGTTGTTGTGAGTGTGGACGGTCGGGGCATATACTGCGTTAGCTTAGCCAATCTCCATCTAGAAAAACACGAATTTTAAAAGGTTTTTTCGCCTGCCGTCTGTCTGCAGACTTGACAAAGCATTAATTCATGGTTTTTACTAACCGGTATCAGTATGTTGTTACTTCGGCATCATTTTGAAACGTGTATTACAATTAAATCACGGTCAAATATGTCCATCTTGTTGTAGTTCTAGCCCTCTTGCCAGCGCTCCTCTCTCTAGTTTAGCATACTCAGCCCGACTCAGCCCTGTTTGTTGGCCCCGATAGAACCACAATTTTCTAGGGCCAGAAAAGAGGGGAAAAAGTGGCCCCGCGCCGTGCCGCGCCGGAACGAGGCCTAGTGGAAGCACAACCAAAAAAGGGGACGGCACGACACGGCACGCTTAAAGCGAGCTACGCGCTGCAATGGAAATGCGCCATTAGAGGACTTGACTTCGAGGTTCCTCGTGACGGCGTGACACTTCATCCCTGAAACTTCTGGAACAATTCAGGTCATAGGAAAATAGTTATGTCATGCTTCTGTATATTGATATGTTTAAAACCAAAACATGATACTTTTAATATCTTACTCATACACTTACTCAAAAAATAGTTTGGTAACCTGTAATCATTCCTTTTGTTCATACCTTCCATACAAGCCTTAAAGCGATCACTCCTAAGTGTGAATAGAGAATAGGACAGAAACTACAGTTCTTGTTCTGCATCTTAAATAACGCTGTTGGCAGTATAAGACATTAGAGGTCTGATTTAGACAAATTAAGTTAGTTATGGCCTTTCATAGTGCTTTGAAAGTGCTTGATTTCTCTAACTTTGACTGCTGAAGCCACACACAACTTAGCAAAGAAGGAATGTACACTGGATTTCTCTCATCTCTTACGGTGATAACTTAACAGCTTGTCAATCCTAAAGAAATGACTAAAGCGGCCAATATCTCTGAACCTTCATACAGGCATGAGTATTGCATTAAGATTGACAGAAACAGAAAAATCCAAACCTGTCATTTAACTCGGCAAAGAGTGTTACACTGTGTGCCCAAGAAGAAATAACCTCTTATTGAAGCCATCTGTTTCCATTCTGTGTGACGTTTTGTCATTTCTTTCCAAGCCAATGTTTTGTGAATTGTTACTGATCTTCAAAAAAATCATTCATCAGTTAGCCAAGGGGCATGTTTCCAGTTCAGGAGGACACAGCTGAACCATGAGGACTTTGATCCAGGCATCCACTGTGGCTCAACAGCAGCATTCGGACGTGTTTTTCATGCAAAATATGTTTTCCAGGCCTCTACAAATCCTGGAAACAATAACACTGGCCAGGCCACTCATTCACCTCAGATCCAACTCCTACAAACTATGGTTAGAACAGCCTGTTTCTACCCAGTTTGACATTAACGAGGCCTGGTCAGAAGCTTCAAAGAAACCTCAGTATAAATCGGTAGCAAAGGAGCAGCAAGCACACCATAGCATCTCAAACTATCCCTGCTATTGAAGCCTCAAGCGATTAAACTTAAGCATGTTTCATAAATGCAATCAAGGCACTCCAACACAATGACATCCTCCTGCAATGAGAGTGCTTCAAAAAGCCATTGATAATCCTACCCAGCAGTGCCATGCAATGAGCTATACAACTCAAGTGGACTATTTAGATGTGGAGATTAAACAGTTTTACACGTACGCCCTGTTGGCAGCGTGCCACAGGATATAGTCTTCCATTTGCCGGAGAGTCGCTGAGTGGAATTAGATGTAATGTTCTGGCCTTCTTCACACAAATACTGCCCGGGCAAACGGAAATGTGATTATTCTGATAAAGAAAAGCACAGCCGTTCAGCCTGTCTGACCTGCAAACACATAGGAGTAGAAAAAAATGCATGGGCTAAAAGGAAGTTAAAGAAATGGGAACACAGGGTGAGAAACAAGCAATATTATGGACATCTTTCCTCAGGGGTTTTACTTTAAACTGCAAGACGAAAGCATATGCTTGTTACTCAAGCATGTGTTACACTTCAAGTGGGTTTTTCAGTCAAGACATAAGGGGTTGTCTGAGTGTTTGTTGACAGCACACACTAGAAAATTAAGCATTCTTTTATAATCCTGCCAACCATGACCTCAGTGAACAACAATCAACCTCCTAACCAAAAGTATGTGACCCAGTGGCACAAAACTCCACAGGACCATTATAATGGGTTACACTGCTTGTTTTCCAGCCACAGTCTCTGGAGTCTCATGAAAACATAATCTCGGCACTACCTAACGGTTAACTAAAAGAGGCATGAGAAGACCTGGATGTGTTTTAAGGGGGAAAGAATGAAATGAGAATTGCTTAACACCTAAGGCAGACAAGACCAGATGGTAATAGAATGCTATATTTAAAATCTGCAGCTCTAAGCGTGCTAATTCATGATGGATGAAGGCTGAGGAGTGGAAGGAAAGCTGAATATGAAATCATCCATCATTTGCATGCATTAGATTTTGATGAGGATATGGGCAAAAAGCACTTTTGGCCTCAGAAAGTCTATTTTGGCAGTACATCAAAGGCTCTTTGACTTCCTGAATGGGAGCAGGACTGAGGGCCAAATGTCTGAGGGGAGAGTGTGTTTCTGAAGCCCCTGGGAGAGGAAGTAGAGGACAGAAAATACAGAGCGGAGAGCCAGGCTGCTTCTCAGAAAGCCTGGGCATCCTGCCTCTCCCAGCCAGGGACCTCTGGACACATTTCCACCAGCTGCCCTCAAAAAAACAAACCAGGCACTGTGCAGAGCGCTCGTCTGGTGGAATATGGCCACGTTCCATCAACAGGTTGCTTACATTGCAACATTAGAATACATTTTGTTTGTATATCCTCCAATTCATGTATTAACGGACTGAGCAATACAATGGCTGTGTAGAGACAATATGCAACACTTTGCTTAGGGCTAGGTGTTAAACCTCAATGCTCAGTTTGGTACCAACTGAAATGTGTCAGGAGCAGAAAATATTGAAAATGATGCAGTATTGTAGTACTGAAAGCTTATAGGCATAGAATGTAAAGGTTTATGAGTAAATCCATAATTTTGCCAGATTTTGACTGTACACCATTGAGGCACAGCTGCTAGCGTTTAACATTTTTAAGTTTGGCTTCTTTTGTTGCACAAAAAAAGTTTTCAATTTAACATAAAACATAACTAAAAAGGCACTCGGACAATGCAGACGTCTGCTGAGGACAAGAAGCCTTAAAAGGAAAGTAAATATTATTCTGTGTGTCTGTCCTGTAATGTGGAGCCTCTCCAAAATTGAATAGGCACTTCAATGTCCACCACGTTTCATTAAAAACAGGATGATAGTTCTTATGTGATTCTGCTTACAATATATTAATATAATGCTATTTGAAACCATTCATACCTATTTGAACCAAAAGTTCATTCTTTACCTTAGAAAACAGAACTTGACAGAGCAATCTCACCAAAAGGTCAATTTAGCATTTGTTCTGGAGCATTTTATCTTATCACATGATCTTTCTCAGCAGTTGAATTGTGCACAGCTGTCATAGAATTGTAGATCTTCACATTTCTATTTTTCTGAGCACTTGAGGATCTTAAGGAATCAATCATTTAAGAAGTTTGTACCTTCTGGTGAATGTACTTTTAATCTTGACTTTTACGCCAACATTAACAGGAAGTCCTTTAAGAGCTCTGGAAAATGGAAATTCAAACATCTTTAACTCCATGACAACTGGGCAAACACCATCTGCTGAGGAAGATGATCCAAAACAAAACAAAAACAGCAACTAAATTGTGGTGAAGCTACATAATAATGGATATATGGATATAACGGATTGTGCATTGGGAGGTATTTTTGCGGTCTCAGAAAAAAATGCAAATGTAAATGATTAATGGTGTCGTTAGTGTAATATAACCTAATTAGTGCACTTCTTTCAGTATGAAAAATACAAATTAATACATTCGGAAGCTGTTAGTTTGGCAGGGCAATTTCCATGAGGTCAGGAAGGGGAACTAAATGCTTGTTGAGTGTTTCACCACGAAAAAGATCTTCCTGAGAAAGTCTGCCAGAGACACCAGAGGAAGGAGAGGATTTGGGTAAGAGAGGGGCTCTGAATATTCTGACAGTGAGAGAACCATGAGATGACTGTTACTGACAGCTGTCCTGCTGTGAGGTGAGACCCTCAAAAACTCTCCATGTGCCTACAGTGTTACAACAAATGAGATGGACAGGGCAAATAAAATAAATGGAGCAGCAAGCCCTTGTTGTTTATGGAGTTGAAGGGGTGTAGAATTACAGGATGTCAACATCACGCTGAGGAGATGAAGGTAGCAGGTGTGCTATATGTTTTTGAAATTACATTCACTTATAATAATTTAAGGACTTTTAGAGCATTGGAGCAGGTTTGCAATAGGAAAAAAAGAAACTGCTGAGTTCCCTCTCTTGGGAAACCAGGTTACTGCTCCACAGCTGTTGGAACTTTGATCACACTGCACATATCTGTCTTTATCCAGACCAATGAACACCTGCATGCAGTAAATAAACAAACAGCTGGTCTTTGTATTACTGTATCCAGGCAGACTGCGTTGCTGAGAACCAACACTATCTTTCCAAAACCTAAAAGAAAAACAATTGCCCCAGTTCATTCATTCAGGGCCCTGGTAATGTGGTTGTGTGGAAACAAAACACAAACACTTACACTGGAAGTTCAAAATAAGTTGTGCATTATGTGTTTAATCTGAAGATCTACTAAAATGTAACATATGAAACAAGAATGTGCTGTAGTCTGTAGATGTAAACACAAATAAACTCCATTGGGTTTATCAGTGGTATCTTATTGGAGCTAATAATCGACCTATGCAACATGATTGTGAAAACAAATGAAATGTGTCTGCAGGACTAAGTGAGTTCAACAATCGTGCATGGGGACTGATTGCTCCTACTGATATCTCATGATTCCTTTAGTGACATGGTTAGGTTTGTGTTTGCTTGCTATGATGACATCAATGCACAGCCTGACTGTGCAGATCCTGCAGACAAGCTCCCACCTTTGACATCCCTGTACTAAATGTTCTCAAACACCAGACATGGTTACCTTGATCTCTGCAGCTCTATCGCAGAGTTGGCTATCTGTCCGCCCTCCAGGCTGTAGTTCTGGGGGTTTTGCCTGGAGTATGGGGCAGGTAGGATTCCCTGAGTGTACGTCTGCAGCCTCCCTCTAGTCGACACTGGCACCGCGGAGAACGGCGAGCTGAAAGTGGAGGGCAGGAAAGCGTCGCCCTCCGAGTCTGCACCCACCGGGGCAGCTGCGGGACCCGTCCCGAAACTACCCCGTCTGTTAGCTAACAGAGCCTGGTTTGCAAAAGCGAGCGCCTCGGCGGCCGTGGAGGCAGCCGCCGCCGCAGCAGCCGCAGCCCCGTACGCCGTGCGCTCCGGAGAAACCAGGCTCTGACTAGTCCTAGCGTCAAGTGAGTCCTCCTCCTCGTTCTGATTGTCTGCATCGTCTTGCACGGGTCGTCCATCCAGGGAAATGTTGCTGAGAAAGGACAACGCCGCTTGCCTCCTCCTCGGGTCTATGCGTTTCCGCGTATGCTCGATACTGGAGTGCTTGATCTGCAGCGTGGCTGTGGATGTGTTGCTGCTCGTGGCAGCCGCCATGGTCCGCTCCCAGTGGTCCGAGTCCCCGCAGCGAGCGATCTTACCTGGCCGACATTAATAAAGTGTTAATCGTGCTTGTGTTGGTGAATGGTAGTGGCCTGTCTTTTAAGTACATGCGCTTAACTGGGTGAAAACAGGGAGGTCACGTGTGTGCAGTATTGTGGCAGCACAGGAAAAATGTGGACCAATGGGCGGTCAGGAATACATGTGTTTTTTTTCTCTACCTTTTCCTGACTGCTGAAAGCTCCACTGGCTCGTCTGACAGGGTATGCCAACATTACGTAAACATAAGTACGGTGTATGTAAGACCGGCGTCTGACCTGCATTATATTCGTCTTAATGCTTACTTTTCACGTTTTTTATCAATTTGGAAAACCTCCTACTGTACAAAATAAACTTTCAAGCTTTTCTCATTTCAAATTTGACAGCATGCTGCATGGTGAATAACTTGCTTGTTGATGTGTCAGTCCGCAGAACAAGGAGCAGTGGTTTGCACATTGATCACTGGGTGCTGACAGAACAGGGCCTGGCTGGCTCAGTTTGTTTTGGGAAAATAGATCATTTTCTGAACCGTACAAGTCAGCATCTCTGCAGCAATTGCGCCATCTTTCTGCTTGACATGCAATGCGTGTGCTGTTTTTCCCCAATAACCCCATTAAATATGCCATCTAGAGGTTTTTGGGTGACACAACCACAATAACGTATGCAAGGGCGCATTTAACTGGTTCGTACAACGTCCTGTGAACGTTGAGACCCCTCAGCCAAACTACGGTGGCCCTGAAGTGCAAGACACCACAGCATTTCACAAAACACTACAGCATTTCACAAAACACTACAGCATTTCAGAAAACGCAACAGCATTTCAGAAAACGCCGCAGCATTTCAGAAAACACTACAGCATTTCAGAAAACACTACAGCATTTCAGAAAACGCCACAGCATTTCAGAAAACGCTACAGCATTTCACAAAACACTACAGCATTTCACAAAACACTACAGCATTTCACATTGGACGGAAAGGGTATAGAGTGGCGAAGTCCCTCCCCTTCCGGTTGAGCCCCATGGGACCTTATTTCGGAAAAGTTATGCATTGAAGTCAATGGAGAGAGAAAGATTATCTTTCGATCCCGTTTGAATTGTGCCACGAATTACACATATGATGTTTGTCAATTTAAAAGATAATTTTGCAAGTCAAAAAAATTAAAATGTGTCGTAAAACTGTGAAGTAACACATTTGTTTGTGTGAAAGGCTCAATGAACTACATCTCTGGTCAACCACACACGTCACCAAGATGGCCGTCACTACTGTCTTGTCAACAAACGATTGACTATCACCACAATGAAACACGTCCTGAAGAATGTCATGCAAAGCCTGCCTTCCTTTGATTCTCTCTGAACTGCCTGGTCGTTTTAATGTTTAATGTCAACCATTTGTGCAGATAGCATGAAGTAGAAAAGATCGCCGATGCTAACGTTAGCGTTAGCATTTCTCCCCCGGAATTAAATGGTGTATTATAGAATGATCACACCGGTGACAGTACTATTCAAAGGGTTCACGAAATATGACTACTACTCTTACTGTTTAACATGTTGGGTTACTTAATGTTACTTCATGTTAAGGCTAATAAAAATGACAAGGCTGTAATGCTAACTAACGTGCTAGCTACTAGCTAGGTAGCTAACTTGATCAAGCCACTCCTGGTCGTTTCATCAGACGGGAAGCAAAAGAACGAGCAAGACCCATTGCTGGTATAATAACAACCTGGTACTAAGCACACAGGCATCTTGTTAAAGTTATCTTATCTTAGCCAGCGCCATATAGATAGATTATATCTATATTGCGCTGATCTTAGGTATCTGAATGGTGGAGGTAAACAATTGTGACATCACTTACGCGACTCTGGGATTTGTAGTCTTTCTAGTTACGTATTTTTCATAGTCTTATATTTCAACAGTTTTACGACAAACTGTGACTTTTTTGACATGGAAATGATTTTTTAAGATTGACAAACATCATATGTGTAATTCATGGCACAATTCAAACGGGATCGAAAGATAAGTTTTCTCTCTCCATTGACTTCAATGCATAACTTTTCCGGAATAAGGTCCCATACCTTGGAAGTAAGTGGGAGGGACTTCGCCACTCTATTCCTTTAGGGAGAACACTTCTTGTTTGTGATTGGACAGAGCCAGCCAGAGAAGCACTGCTGTGATTGTTTGTTTTTGCTGCCAGTCAAGAAATGACGCTTTGTGATTGGTCAGCACCCGACAGCGCAACATGTCCCAACACATCAGCTGTTAGCTGTTAGCACACAGAGCTCACAGCTCCTCATATCTGTTCAGAAACTGGACAAAAGTTAAACATGTACAAACCACAGACTGTCTATGTCATGGCGAATACAGTCGCTGCTTTATTTATGTCTGTATGACGTTGTTGTGAGTGTGGGCGGAGCAGCTACAGGTTAGCCTGATCGATCCGATCTCCATTCAGAAAACACGCATTTTAAAAGGTTTTTCGCCTGCCGTCTTGTCTGCACACTTGTCAAAGCATTAATTCATGATTTGTATTAACCGGTATCAGTATGTAGTTACTTCGGCATCATTTTGAAATGTGTATTAAACACAGCTGACAGCCGCGGTGAAACTCGAGCGATTAGAGCGATGCGAATATTGGGTAGTCTACCATAGTATTTACATGGAGATAAGCTCCTTAAAAACCATGAATTAATGCTTTGACAAGTGTGCAGACAAGACGACAGGCGAAAAAACCTTTTGAAATGCGTGTTTTCTGAATGGAGATCGGATCGATCAGGCTAAACTAACCTGTAGCTGCTCCGTCCACACTCACAACAACGGCCTACAGACATAAATAAAGCAGCAACTATATTCGCCATGACACAGACAGTCTGTGGTTTGTCCAAGTTTAACTTTTGTCCAGTTTCTGAACAGATATGAGGAGCTGTGAGCTCTGAGTGTGTGCTAACGGCTGATGTGTTGGGACATGTTGGCTCTGTCCAATCACAAACAAGAAGTGTTCTCCCTAAAGGAATACCCTTTCCGTCCAATGTGAAATGCTGTGGTGTTTTCTGAAATGCTGTGGTGTTTTCTGAAATGCTGTGGTGTTTTGTGAAATGCTGTGGTGTTTTCTGAAATGCTGTAGCGTTTTCTGAAATGCTGTGGTGTTTTGTGAAATGCTGCAGCGTTTTGTGAAATGCTGTTGTGTTTTCTGAAATGCTGTGCCGTTTTCTGAAATGCTGCGGCGTTTTGTGAAATGCTGTGGCGTTTTGTGAGCTGTAGTGTTTTGTGAAATGCTGCGGCATTTTCTGAAATGCTGCGGTGTTTTCTGAAATGCTGTTGTGTTTTCTGAAATGCTGTAGTGTTTTGTGAAATGCTGTGGTGTCTTGCACTTCAGGGCCACCATACAAACCTTTACAAAAAACAACAGATAACCTTAGGGAATGTTTCCTCCAGGTTATACGATTTCAGATTTTTTTTTAAAGTGAAATACTCCCTGACTTGAACGGAGTCCTGGGGGGACAAAAAATACTCCTGGGCCCCATTGACCTTTGAACCCGGTTGTATACCCTGTTGCCCTGTTCTTGGCAGTACAGAACACACATCAGCTTCTTAGTTAAGCCTAGAAAACAACCAGTGCTCCCAGTATGTCAGTTTTGTTATTCTGAACTTTTGTTCTAGGATAACAGACCATGTGAGCTAAATATTAACTAAATGTATAAAAGTCCTATGACAAAACGTTATTTTCCCTGCCTCAAACCAATTGCACTGTGATAAACTAACATGGTTATAATCACAATCACACTCCTGGCCTTGACAAAGGGAAATAATATTTGCAGAAAGCCATTTAACTCAGTGTCTTTCAAAGCCATGTGACATCAGCAGAGGATCTTAATAAAAGGAAAACTCTTTATTTCTCTAAGGCAAACTCTGAATATCTGAGAATATTATCAATTAGTAGTTTGATTAGCATTTATCAATACCTATAGTTGTGACAAATAAAGTTAATAACTCAAAATCTAATTTTGGAAATGTTCACTTAAAGGTGGGGTAGGTAATTTTGGAGAAACCAGCTTGAGTGCGCTAGAATTTTAAAATACACAGCCGGAAAAAATCTGCCACTTCCTTACAGAGCCCCTCCTCCAACACACACGAATGCGCACATGACCAATGAGGGCACGAGATAAGTTTGTGCACAGATGGAAGGCTGACAGGCAGGTAGGCCATCCAGTTATTTTAGCCGGGCCGGCTAAAATGATTGGTCGTGCTTTTTACAGTACTAGGCTTCCACAGGTGACATTTTTTTATGGATTTTTTGTCAAAGCACTTAAGATATTCATTGCTATCGGGATGTTAAGAGCATTCCATGGAATATAACAAAAATCTGTATCTTGAGCCGGTTTCTCAAACTTACCTACCCCACCTTTAAGCCATGTTTAACTGAAAATGTGTATGTAAATGTTCCTATATAGTTGGACACTTGCAGCCACTCCTAAATAATGCTGATGTCATAAAGTTAAAACTTGTAATAGAGATCTATCTACCTTTTCCTCATCTGCAGATTAGGTCTTACAAAAATAGAGAAAACATGTTAAAAAAGTCAAAAGTTTGAACTTGTTTTGGACACTGCCAAGAACATAGCATTTTCTTCACCAGAAGAGGTCCCTGTTGTACCTTAAATCTGCACAATGCTGCATGCCTCTCACATTCTGCATTAGACAAAGGAGCACGTAGTAACTGATGTTTATAAAGCCCCTGGGTGAATGTACATCATAATATCAGTGTGTATACTTCAAACCCCTGGCTGTGTGTTTTATTGATTGCTGAACTGCTGTGACAGACACAGGTTAGAGGCACTGTTGATATACACTCTTTATTCATTGTATTCACTCATCCTCATACAATTATGGGTAGGATATATACAGCACCACTGATGATTAATGTTTAGTTAACTTTTTGTTTTCTCTAAATACTTAAAGAAGTTGTAAGTCTTGACAATGGTTTTACAGGGATAGATTCCCCAACATTCATAACCAGAATGCTACACACAATATACATTTAACATTTACCCATAGATCTATGTTCTGATGCCAATCTGTGGGCAGCCTGGGCAACAATA